TTTCCCTGCAATCACGCATTTCTCACGCACTTTGAAAAGTAAATTTAATCTTCAATTTAATGCCAATTCCCTTCTAATTTATGCTTGCTAAAATCTCATAAAATAAGAAAAGTTTTAATCTTATTAAAATATTACGTCATAATTATTTACGCTAAACTTTAGAGAAACTTGTACCTCGCTATAAGGTGCTTGCGGGGAAAAGGTAACCTCAAATTTCTATGACGTGAACATTAAGTGTATGTTGCGTCACAGTTCAGTAAGTTGTAAAGAGTTAAAGAGTCACCCCTATTATTATTTAATTAATAAGTAAATTAAAACAGACATGATAAAGACAACTTTTATGGGTCACCATAATATACTCATCAATTAAGAAATTTCTTGGCCTGATGTATAAGGAAAGCCTATCCATTATTCTGCAGAATTCTGTCAAAGGTCTGGGTTTATCTTAAATGATGGATAAAGAATGGCATAAACCTCACTCAAAGACTGATCTTTTTAAAATGACAAAGAGAGCATGGTATCGGAGACATTCCATGTTGATTATAACGGGAGGGTATTACCATTGTGATCAGTTCCAGGATTAACTCGGATATAAATATGGATTTAAAGAGGACGTCGTATTTACCTCAGGATAAAATGATAATCACCACAAAAAAATACAGGCTTAGGGAGACTTTCTTGACAAGAATTGCTCATTTGTAGGAAATAAATATAATGGGGAGGATTTTCTGCTTGATAATCAATGTGCTAATCTGTGATCAACATAAGAATAGTGATTTATACATGAAAAAAAAATGAATATCAGAATTGATAATAAACTTTTCATTCAACAGAACATGTATACTGTGCAATATGTCCTATCCTTAGGTAAAACTTGATGTCAGGGGACAGTTTCTAACCATGATCAGACTTTTAGATCCCAGAGAGAAATTATAAAAATCCAGAACCGATCATTAAGTTTAGACCTTAAGGTGCTCCATCCCAATAACCTACTGAGGAATACACATTATTTGTACATTACCTGATACTTGGTTTCTACCTGTGAACCTAGGAGAATGATAAATTAAGATAAGATACAAACAGGTCCATATACAGATAAAAGAAAAGAGTTTATTTGTCAGAAACATCCTCATTTGTACTACAACCTCCTAATTATGGACTAACACCTCGATCCCATTGGGGGTGTGTTGTTATTCAGATAAGGGGCTTACGAGGAAGGAGCAAATGTATAAAGTATCTTGTGAGGAAGATAAGAGTTTATTTGTCAGAAAACATCCTCATTTGTAAGACAGAGGCATTCTTGAATGGAGTTAAAAAAACAACAACTGGATTTCAAGTTTTCTTAAGATTCTGAAATAAAGAGAGATTTTCCTGTGATTTAGTGTTACTTGTGGACTACTTTCAGCAGCATTGATATTTCTTTTATTTCTTATTAGTTATATTTCTTTTCTTTTTTTTTAATAGATTTTCTGAATCAGATCATGTTTGTTTTGTGGATTATTTTGATGTTAATATAATGAATACTAGGTTTTTCTTGCGAGTAATTTTTTCTACTTCTGAAGGTAAAATTTTTCAGAATTAATCAGCTGGAAAGATAAACTCTGTACAAATTAATTGTTAATGCTCCCCTGAAGGCCAGGCTACAATGACACCTCCCTAGATATGTTTGTTGTAATTTAAAAAGCAAGTGTTAATTTAAAAACATATATTTCTTATGTTTATTAAACAGATATTTCTTAGATTTGTTTTTAAAACAGATTTTCTGTTTATTTGAGCTATTAAATGAACAAAGATTTCCTTAAAATAGAAATTTCTGGCTGCACTTCGGGGTTTCAATGATTGAACATGGTAAATAAAATAAATGATTTGTTAATTTTTGTTTCCCAATGTTTTTCATAATGAAATTTTCAAAATCTTAGAATTATTTAAGGAATTAAAATAAATTCTCCTAGCTGATGAACTTGTTTAAAAAAATAATTGAAATATGAAAGTTATCTTTTTAAGACAAAAAAGGGTCCTTTCCTAATTTTCTGCCATTTGTATCTAAAATGACCTTGATCTCAATCCTGTCAAAGTACATAAAAATGCTTTAAAATCAAAAGATGTGAAACATGACTACATCATTCATTATTTGGAAGTTTGGGAGAACATTTATTGTTACCAATAAGGAAACAGCCATGTAATCCGAGAAGTAAATGGCTGTAAATCTTATTTTTATGTTTTACATAGTCATTACATTTTTTGTAAGGTTTGGTATTGCTAAGAACTTAGCAAAACTTAAATGTTTCAGATTATATTTTAAACATGTTAAGTTTAAATTTTGATCTTTGTCTTTGATGTTTTTGTTTTCTAAAGTCAAAAATCAATTTCTTTTTTTTCCAGCTCAGTAGAAAGACAGGAGTGGATAAATACTCAGAATGGAGAAGAGTTATTTCCCTTTGACTGTAGAAAATGACAGCATAATATCACAGAACGGTTCAGGAAACTCAGGACCAGTGTCCAATGTCAGCAACACCATGGGAGGCAAGGAATCTAAAGATGAGAAAGGTGAAAAATCAATCGAGGGCGAAATCCGAGGTCAATCTTCCTCGGACAACATTAAAGACAAAGAATCAAGCATAGAGACAAAGACAGGGAACAGAGACTGTGGTGTTTTTGTTTTAAATATCAAAGAAGAAATAGGAAAGTCTGCCTGTGGTACAAGAGAAGAGGAAATGTGGTCTAACGGTAATAAAGATGATGGTGGTTTTCCCGAGGCCAGACCCCAGGATCATTATAAGTTAACCCTCTCTCTGGGAGATAACTTTAAGGAGAATGATAAAAAACTTAACTCTAGAGAAGAAAACTCGCTCGACACAAAGAGTGACCATGCTGTCATTGAAAACATTCACAACAGAGATGAAAATTTTACAGACTCTAAGATAAATGTTCAGGAGGATTTTGAATCTCATGGTAAAAGTAGTCTGTGTAATTTTAATAGTTTTAGTGATCCATTAGGTGACTACACAGACACTTTACAAAAACAGGGACAGTGCAATAATTGTCAGAATGAGGATCAAATCCATAAATGGTGTTCATGTTCAAAACAAGCTGATGTGTTCAAAGACAATAACAATCATACAGATGGTAATTCTCCCTGTGGGACTTGTTCACAAGAACTGGGACCTTTACAGTCACCTCAAACCAAAGGTCTGGATTCTGATTCTATAGCTCAAACTTGTCAACACCAAAGTTGTTCAGCAAGTGTGCACAATCAACAGAGTAATGCAAAAAGTCATGAACCTTACAAGGGTTCAGCTAGACATGAACCAGTAGGTGGTTCACAAACATGTTCACAATGTAGTGAGAGTAGTAATGTGTTGACGTCAGTGTTTGATGCTTTATTCTGTGAAAAGTGTTATAAAGAGTTTGAGATGAATGTTTCTGTGGCTTGTTCAGTAGAAAATAACTGTTCTGAAAAAACTGGTTCTCATGAAATCCCGGAGGAAACTGGTTCCTTGCAGAGGATGGAAGCAGAAGATAGCCATTTAATAGACAGATCCCGTCCAGTTCAGGGAAATGATTTGGGAAATTATAAAGATTTAGGAAACAATGACATTTATGATGACAGTGGGTGCAGTTATGTGGAAATTGTTGATCCACATCAAAGTAATCAGAAAGATGAGTATGAAGGGGAAACACAGTCCACTGAAGATGTTAGTAAATACATAGAAGTGGAAAACAGCCTGCATGGGATTGATTTGCATGTGGAAGACTTTCCTGGAGGTGGAGTATTGGTGGATGAGGAGATCTTTGACAATGTGGATGTATTTGACAATACTGTGGAAGCCAGCACTGTGATCCAGACATCCGACTGCGTCCAGTGGGAGGGGAACTTTATGTGTACTTGTGAGGAATGTCTGAAAGGGCTCCGGATTGAGCGGATCATGACTGCAGATAAATCCACCATGTGTCCGGATGATCCACCATACGTACTGATGTGTGAGATATGTGAGGAGTAAGTAGAGATTTGGAAACAGAGAGAGAGAGAGAGAGAGATAATTAACCCCAGGTGATGCTGATAGACCTGGGAGTCAGTGTGTGTGTGTAAGAGTCAGCTATGTTTACGTGTGTGTCAGTTAATGTGTGCGAGAGTCAGCTTGGTTTATGTGTGTGTCAGTAACTAATGCTGATGTGAGGGTACCCCCTTCAATGTAAATAGGTGTGGGAGTCAGTTAAGTTGATGTGGGTGAGATTCAGTTGAGTTGATGCTTGTGTAAGTAACTGACTATGGTTGATGTTAGTGGTAGTTAATTATGTCTGTGTGTGAGGGAAGGGTCATTCATATAGTAAAACAATTACATGTTTTGTCCTGCATTTCTGAATTATGTCTGTGTGTGAGGGAAGGGTCATTCATATAGTAAAACAATTACATGTTTTGTCCTGCATTTCTGAATTATGTCTGTGTGTGAGGGAAGGGTCATTCATATAGTAAAACAATTACATGTTTTGTCCTGCATTTCTGAATTATGTCTGTGTGTGAGGGAAGGGTCTTTCATATAGTAAAACAATTACATGTTTTGTCCTGCATCTCTGAATTATGTCTGTCCTATCAACGTAAGTACTGAGCATTCTTTTTTGAAAGAAAAAAGAACTTTCAAAGAAAGCAACTTAAGAATTACAACAATATATTGTTTTTTGTAAGCAAAAAGATTTGTAACATTTACCGTGAGCAACATTGTCATTGATACAGTAAAACTTCATTATAACATAAAAGAAATTTTTTTTCATGAAAATAAAAATATATCTTTTTAAAAAAAAAAAAAATTTCTGCACATACAAGTTCCAGAAATGTGTTTGAATTTTATCAGTCATTGTAAATGCAGTTGAAAATTCATTAAGCTTTATAAGCTTAGTATTACTTTTTTATTCTAAAAATACAAAGATTGAAAATTCTCTTCTAAAAATAGAAAGTTGAGAATTCCTTTTCTAAAAATAAATTTTAATATATCAATAACCAGGTTACTGGAGAACCAGCTACAAAAGACAGAGAAGGACACGAAGAAGAAAGAGGAGAAACTGAAACGGGAGATAAAGGAACTGAAGCAGGAGAATGAGGCAGCGCAGAAAATCATCAGCCAGGTAACATGATACACGATACACCACGATACATAACCATACATAATAATAAAACGGGAGATAAAGGAACTGAAGCAGGAGAATGAGGCAGCACAGAAAATCATCAGCCAGGTAACATGATACACGATACACCACGATACATAACCATACATAATAATAAAACGAGAGATAAAGGAACTGAAGCAGGAGAATGAGGCAGCACAGAAAATCATCAGCCAGGTAACATGATACACGATACACCATAATACATAACCATACATAATAATAAAACGAGAGATAAAGGAACTGAAGCAGGAGAATGAGGCAGCGCAGAAAATCATCAGCCAGGTAACATGATACACGATACACCACGATACATAACCATACATAATAATAAAACGGGAGATAAAGGAACTGAAGCAGGAGAATGAGGCAGCACAGAAAATCATCAGCCAGGTAACATGATACACGATAGATAACCATGCATAATAAAACGGGAGATAAAGAACTGAAGCAGGGGAACGAGGAGGCACAGAAAATCATCAACCAGGTAAATACGATACACGATACACCACGATACATAACCATACATAATAATACATAATGAAACGGAGATAAAGGAATTGAAGCAGGAGAACGAGGCAGCACAGAAAATCATCAACCATGTGAAATGATACACAGTTTACAGTGATACAGAAATACTATCAGTTAATTTGATACATGATACGCTGTGATTCAGAAAACAACAGACAAAATGATCCATGATACAGAAATATCACCAGTCAGGTAATAAGATACAATGTGATAGAGAAATATCATTAGTCATGTAATATGATTATATGATACAATTTTACAGAAATATCATCAGGTAATGCAATACATGATACAACATGATACACACAAATAAAAATCAGGGAGTTTTATGTAGCAAATTTTTAAGGAAAGAAAGTGACTAAATTTCAGCCACGTGTTACACATTACCAATCAAAAGCTTTATTCCATAACCTTCCCTTCACAATCTACACGGATCAGCAAATCAGAAACCAAAACCATCCATGTAATCCAATCAGAAGTCAACCAATCAAAATCTTCCTTTCATAACCTTCACAGGTTAGCTAATCAGTAAACCAAATTATATCTAGTAGGATTTACAACCAACCAGTCAAAAGCCTTGTACCCTTGCCAGTTGTTTTCACCATTCCCCATATAATGTACAAAGTTTATCCAATCAGAATATCAGAAATTACACAGATTATTCAATCAGATGCCTAGAAAACTGCCAAGGTTGTACCTTCTCTTTGTACTGTCTTAATCAGACAAGAAATGTTTTAAAAATATTTGATATTCTCATATGCCCCACCCCCTTAATTACTTTACATACAGTGAGTATAGTGAAAGGTGTAAATGATAGAATTGATTAGTTCATCTATTTAGATCTTTTTTTTAAATGATTTAATTTAATTTTAACTTTTTTTGAAATGATTTGTTTTATTTATGGTGACAGTTGGTTTTTGTATATCATTCTTTTCTCTATCTTTTAAATAGATAATTTTTTTTTAAGTTTGTAGATTTGAATGATATTTTTTTGTCTGTGATCAGTGACTTTATTGTTTTGTTCTACAGTTCAACAGCATCACTCGCGTATGTACTGATGTAGAGTTGACATGTACTCAGTGTTACTATTTATAACTCAGAGTTACTATATATAGCACTGTTTATACTGACTGCATTGTGTTCCTATTATACTGACAATCAGGGGGTGGATCTCATAATATCTGTACGTGAAATCTCCAAGTATTCTGTTGAAGCACAAGGGTTGTTTTTCTAGGAAAAGGTACAAAAATTCACACACCACACTGTAAATATACTGGGGTCATTTGAGATCAAATATTTGATATTTTGGAGGTTGACTGAAAAATACACACTTTACATATGAAGCTAACATTTTTTTGTAAGGGATGGACAAAAAAAATCACATTGCAACAGCATAGTGATCAAAGAATTGAGCACTGCTAGTGTGATAGTCATGATTTTATATAGGCTAATTGCTGCTCCGGTACACTAGGGTTAACTAAAAAATACACACACAATCTTCAAAGAAGGTCTGTTTAATTTGTGATTTTTTTTTTTTTTTTTGATTTATTGGGGGAGGGGATTTGAATCCTCAGAAAGGGGGTTGGGCAGGCTCTGCTATAAGAGAAACAGATGTAGACAGTTACTTTATTGTTCTTGAACACTCCACCGTGAAGTCATTACTGTCTTTTAAGAAATTGACATTGGGATAGAATAAGCTTTTGATTCTGATATGGACCTAATGCCCTGTTCACACGGAGAGTTTAATTCGCAGTAAATTAATGCAAAGTAAAATAATGCGAATTAAAATAATGCGATTTAAATTGCATTCACATGGCAGCTAATGTGAAGTAAACTTATGCGAATTAAAATTTTATTTCTACAGTAAGGCTATTCAGTAAGGCTATTATGACGTCATTTTCAAATCATGTCACCTTATGCGGAGCAGACCCATATGACATTCTGTCATAGTGTCTATACACATTTCAGTGATTAACATAATTTTTCTTTGTTTTCCACTAAAAAATAGCATAAGTACCTACATCTGACCAGCAACATGTGGCATGTGACTTAATTGTGCCATTACGCATGCGTCGAAATTGAATTCGAATTAGCTTTGCTTAGCGTTCACACAGAGCTAATGTGAAATAATTTAATGCGCATTAAATTAATTCGAATTAAACTAATTCGCATTAAATTCCCCGTGTGAACGCAGTTCAAATTTAATTCGCAGTAACTTACGTTTAATTCGAATTAAACTCTCCGTGTGAACAGGGCATAAATTATGAAAATGTCAACTTAAAAAGAGTCTCCAAATATGTCAACAGGAAATGTATCAATGTGTAAAAGACATATACATCATATATATTGTAATACATCATATATATTTGGGGAGGGAGCTTAACCAGATAAAAAAGGTTTTAAAAAAATCTTGTACAGGTTTAAATCTTGAGGTGAAAAGAAATTAACTTTTTGAGTTGATCTTTTTTTATTGTGTGACAATGCTTGCACTGAAATCCTTCACACCTGGGGCCAGGATTCTGCCACAGTCACCCCTCTTCTTAATTAAAAATCTCAGACTCTTAGTACTCTGCTCTGTAGTAATTAATTTGCTTTTATGTCACCTAGAAGATTCTTAGAGAGCTTTTCTGTACCCCTTGGCTTATATTTTTCCCCTTAGGGTTTTTTTGAAAATTTATAAAAACTCTCTTGACCAAACTTGCACAAAGAGTGCATCTAATATCTTAGATGTAAATAATAAACTACCCCTCTACAAGTGCCAAATTCAGCATTAAAGGTCATCTCAACATGACCTTTAACCTTTTATATATGACCTTGACCTTAGTGAAGCAATGGACCACAATATGTGTTTATATTTTGTTCTGCATGCATTTATATATTCATTTGGTATTTATTTTATACAGTAACAGTTATATCAGCATATACCCAGACTGAGTAGATTATATTTATAACACACTCTGTAGGCGCTTAGAGTGGTGTTAGCTTGCACCAAGCAGTTTTAATGATGAGTGTGTTTGGGGTGTGTTTATGTATATATATGTATGTGTGTGTGATATGAATGAGTTTGTGCCTGTGAATACATATGTGTGAGATTTCCATTTTTGGGAGAGATTTTTTAATTTGAAATTAGGAACATCAGCATGATGCAGGTTGAAAGTTTGCAAACTATCAGAACCCATAATTTATAACAAATACCCCTTATGTCCAACTGCATTAATATTTTTAATGGAAATCCCTCTTTAACCCATTTCCTTTAAGCACTCTGAATTTTGACCCCCCTCTCATTACCTGTATGTTTGACATGTGGCATGGTAACTGATTTTCTAGGTTTAATATTCAATTTGCAGATTTACTATTTTTGGTATTTTAAGTATATAATGTTAATTATGTTAATTACTAATTTTAATGTACCAATTTCTCAGCCCTGGGATCATTTTTTGGTACACTCAGATTTTTATTTACTTTAAGTTAACATAGTTAAAGTTACTTAACAGAATATTTACATCAGTCTGTCTAATATGTATATATTAATATGTGTTGAGTCTAGTATTATAAAGAACTATAAAAATGATAAATTATAGAAAGTTATTTTAATTTTTTACAAGCATTGGAAATTTTATAAATTTGATTTTTTGTGACAAATACTGCTCGGCATGGTTAACTTAGATTGATTTTGAAATGATGAAGTTAAGAAATGGCATTCTCAATGATTTTATAATTGTTAGTGTACAATTTCTGCTCCCTGAGCTATAAATAATGACTACTCCCTTTGTGTTTTGTAGAATCTTCAGTTAGGTCCTGAAGCCAAGATTGAAGCCACGATGCAACATGAGATTACTCGACTCACGTCCGAAAACCTGGTGAGTATTGCTCAACATGAGATTACTCAACTCACATCTGAAAACCTGGTGAGTATTGCTCAACATGAGATTACTCGACTCCCACCTGAAAACCTGGTGAGTATTGCTCAACATGAGATTACTCGACTCACAACCAAAAACCAGGTGAGTATTGCTCAACATGAGATTACTCGACTCACATCTGAAAACCTGGTGAGTATTGCTCAACATGAGATTATGTGACTCACAACCAGGTGAGTATTGCTCAACATGAGATTACTCAACTCACATCTGAATACCTGATGAGTATCACACATTCCGTCATTCCTGTCATAATAGACACCACTATTATTGAACCTTTTCTCTTGTTGAAATGCATTGAATTATGGCAGAAGATATACCACATGAGGAACTTGAATTGAATTTTTATTGAATGAATATATTTACTACAATTAACCCTCCAAACACATGGAATCTCTTTTATACATGAAAAGAAATATGATGTAATATGAAAATAGAAGTAGTTTTTTCACTGAGTTTTATTTTTTAGGACTTGAGAGAGAAGGCTGACAAGCAGGCAGACCAGATCCGTAAAATGAAAAAAATGCTGAAGGTGTACGCTAAAAAACTCAAAGACGGGGACGGTAAGTTTTAGATTTAATTTGGGGAGGATGGAGGTGTAAGCTAGGAAGTTCAAGGATGGGGCCATTAACTTAAAGGAGAATGTGGAGGGCGGATGGTTAAATGAAGTTTTACATTTAAAAAATTTAAAGCCCATGAAACCTTTTTAGTTTTAGATGACAAATCAACGAAATTTTATCCCCATGAAAATTTGTGCTTCTAAAGTGTAGTATTTGTTATGTAGTGTGAATAGTGGCTGGGGGGGGATGTCATTAGGTAAAAGGACAGATTCATTATTAAAGAAAACTGAACAGAAGATGTTCTAAGTAGGTAAATATACATTATCTCTAATACCAGTGGGTGAGATCTTAGAGCAGAAGATGTTCTATGTAAATAAATATATATTGTGTCTTATAACAGTGGCAGAGATTGAAGCCGAACTGGAGAAAGATGACAAACAGAAGAAGGCGGAGGACAACGTGGCGACGGTTAAACATCTGGACAGGACGTACATGGGGATGTTAGAGTATAAAAGGGAGGACGAGGGACGACTCGTCAAATGTCTCATCATGGGTCCGTGTCAGCTAAATTATCATCTACTTTATCACGCCCATACTTGTGAATGTCAGATTATAAAAGCAAGGATGAAGGTTGACACATCAAGTGTCTTTTCAAGGATGCATGTCATCTAAATTGTCATCTAAAAGATCATCTACTTAATTAAACTTGTGCATGGGAATGCTATTGCATTAGGACTCTGTATCATGATTATACTTTATTACTTTCATGTTGTGTTGGCTGAACTTCAAATTTCTTATTTAAGATCTTTTTTAAAGTATTTTTTTTCAAAATAATTACATCTGTCGAAAAACAGTTTGTAATGTAGACTCTTTCTTCTTCAGATTTGAAGCCCAAGGTAGCTCAGGGTCTGTTACCCGGTCTGCCAGCGTACATCCTGTTTATGTGTGTACGACACACGGATTACATCAACGACGACGAGAAAGTCCGGACTCTCCTGACAAACACAATCAACGGCATCAAAAAGTGTGTCAAGGTGAGTCAAACATCAAAAAGTGTGTCAAGGTGAGTCAAACATCAAAAAGTGTGTCAAGGTGAGTCAAACATCAAAAAGTGTGTCAAGGTCAGTCAAATGTCAGAAAGTGTTTCAAGGCTTGGTGGTGTTCATGGATGATTTACATTCAATGTAAACATCAACAAGTATGGTGTTCTTATTGATGTGATATTTTTATCAAAATAAAAAACAAGTTTTTCGGTTGTTTGGAGCAAGATTTCAAATAAGTCTTTTAAATGTTTTATGTTTATCTTATGTTTTTATAGAAACACAACAAAGAGTTGGAGAGAGTGATACTCTGGTTGGCCAACACGTGTCGACTTCTACACACCCTTAAACAGTACAGCGGAGAAAAGGTAAGATTGATACACACACTTAAACAGTACAGGAGAGAGAAGGTAAGATTGATATAGATTGATACTAAAAGGTAAGATTCCCTTTACTGTTTCAATAGGAAGCAAATACCAGTATACAGCTGGTCTCATAGCATTATACATCTCTTTTAGGTTTGGTCAAGTTATTAAAAATTTACTCTTTTTTCACTGGGTACATTACATTCACTTGCAACTGATTATGAAATTTATGTTTCAGACATTCCAGTCAGAGAATACGACGAGACAGAACGAGCACTGTCTACGTAACTTTGATCTATCGGAGTATAGGCAGGTGTTTAGTGACCTTGCCGTGTGGATCTTCCAGACAATGATAAAGTACATGGAGGAGGTCATCCAGCCCATGGTCGGTAAGTTGTCTGTGTCCAGTTATCCCAATGACTGTCTGTGTATGTCTATCTGTCTAGTTGTCTGACATTGTTTGTGTCTGTCTAACTGTATGATAAAATACATGGAGAAGATCATTCAGTCCACAGTAGTAAGTTGTCTATGTAATTGTCCATCTCTCCAGATATATCCCTGTGTGTGCTTTTTCTGAATGTGTATAAGTATTTTTCTCCATGAAGTAAAACTTGTATATAAAGATTACACCTTTTTGGCAGAAACTGTCACAGACTTAAATAATAATATCTGATGGAGTTGTCTTCCCTTGTAGTGCCGGCGGTGCTGGAGCATGAGGCAATCGCGGGTCTGACGGCCAGTAAACCCTCGGGAATGAGGGGGCGCAGCAGCAGTACCGCTCAGGACGAGGACGTACGAGAACTGTCTTTAGACACACTTATGAAATCTGTAAGTTTCTATTAAAATTGAGACCAGTCAGAGTGCCTCAAATTTTCTAATTAAATAATAGAAGTTAAATTCTTAAAGATATGTTATGATGAGGAAGACTTATTGTTAAGGTAAATATTGACATCAGTTTTGTCTACATATGTTGCCCCTTCATGTGGATATTGTATTAAACATTTTATCTTAGATGTTCTTTTTTTCTATAAACTTATTGAGTTAAATTTTAATGTCCATTTTATCTACACATTCTACTTCATCCTGTGGTTGTAATTTTATTATTCATTTTAACTAACAAGTTCTTGTGTTCGTTCACCAGTTGAACAAATACAACCAAGTTCTGTCTCAGCATGCAGTGGATCCAGAATTAGTCAAACAGGTGTTCAGACAGGTATGTACAATCAAACTCGTAAGTTCTTCTGTTAAGTTTAGACATTTGTAATAATAAGGTTTTCTGTGGATGGGTTGGGGTGGGAGGGGGTGTTACATTCATAATGATAAAGTTTCCTTTAGTTTACAGATACTGATAATTCCCTTCAGAGGGCTTATTTCACACTTCTCTGTGTTTCAGTTGTATTACTACATCGGTTCCAATGCCCTGAACAACCTACTACTGAGAAAGGATATGTGTAACTGGTCCAAAGGCATGCAGATCAGGTAATTATAGAACAGATCAGGTAATTATAGAACAGATCAGGTAATTATAGAACAGATCAGGTGATTATAGAACAGATCAGGTAATTATAGAACAGAGCAGCTAATTATAGAACAGATCAGCTAATTATAGAACAGATCAGGTGATCATAGAACAGATCAGCTAATTATAGAACAGATCAGCTGATTATAGAACAGATCAGGTGATTATAGAACAGATCAGGTGATTATAGAACAGATCAGCTAATTATAGAACAGATCAGCTAATTATAGAACAATCTTCTTGTAAAGAAAGGATGCCTGTAATTGGTCCAGATAAAGTGATACAATAACATGTATTAAAGTAAAACAGGTAAATTATTATGAGCCGTTTTGAAGGTAATTTTAGTACAATCTGGTTGTATAACTTACAGTGAATGTAAGCTTTTTTTTCAATTATAACATCTTTTTTATATAAAGAATAAGAATATTTCTGTTCAGAAAAAATGGCAAGCAAGGTTAACCAAGATGTCTGATGTCACAAATGAAAATGATGTATAGTAATAATGATCTACATTTGATGTAATTTGTTTATTTGCTGTTTACAGGTATAACCTGAGTCATCTCGAGCAGTGGCTCCGAGATAATAAACTGAACGAGTCCGGTGCTCAGGCCACACTTGAGCCCATCACTCAGGCATCTCAGCTCCTACAAGCTCGCAAGTCTGAAGCAGATGTAGACAGTATATGTGAGATGTGCTCTAAACTTACCACAGCCCAGGTAACTCAATGTCACATTAAGATTTTGTTAGAATCTGGTAAATGTTTATTAACAAAATCTCTGGTATAGTAAAGCTCGTAAAATCTCAGCAAATTCTTAAGATTTTTTTTATTGAATATACCTTTTTTTCCCATTTTTAGATTGTGAATTCCCCTTTTTTCTATTTTTAGATTGTGAATACCCCCTTTTTTTCTTTTTTTAGATTGTTAAGATCCTGAACCTGTACACACCTGTGGATGAGTTCGAGGAGAGAGTTCCGATCAGCTTCATCCGTAAAATCCAGGAGCGATTAAAATCGACAAAGAAGGAGGAGGACAACACACTCCTCATTGACACTAAGTATTCGTTCCCCGTCACGTTTCCGTTCAATCCGTCAAGCATCACTCTGGACTCCATAGAGATCCCGGAGAGTTTACATCTAGACTTCTTAACACGTGTTTAATGTCTACAAGTCATAGGATTTATTTATATATCTGGTCAGATTTATTTCTATTTATGTTTCTGATTGGTCAGATTTATTCTTATCAATGTTTTTGATTAGTCGCTTATTTACCCTATACTGTGTGATAGCCAATAGTTTTTTTTGTTATATAATTTTGAGCTTTTTTATTGGTCTTTTTATAGATTTTCACTTTCTGTGATTTTTCTTGTATTTTTCTGCATATCCTCCTTAATAAAAGTCAAAGGTCAAAGGCCTCTTTCTCAATCTGAGTTCAAAAGGTCATGACCCTTTTGTGAATTATTGTCACTGTATACTAGGATGAAATAATTTTGTGATACTTTAAAAATTTCCCCATTTTATGTGCTTTTTTTTTAATCTTAGCTGCTGAAATATTAAGAACATTATATCAATGTGAATCTGATTTGAAACTGCAGATCAGTATAGGGTATGCTAAGATGTATGTACATGATAAATTATGATAAACAATAATGAAGCATATCTTAACAGCACAAAGTCTTAACAAAGTTACACCACAGACAGATAAACCTTACTTTTGGTGCTTTTTCACTGTGTAATATTTTTTCATTAATTTTTTAGTCTTGTGTTGTTTGCATTCTGTTCAAGGCATTCATGCATTATTGACCTATTTATACTAATCAGGTTTATACCATTTTACTTTTGTGACAAATTGTGATAAAATTTTCTTCTGTGAAACTTTTGTTTATGAATGACATTGGAATTGTTTGTGTCTAAGTTAGATAACGCTGATGAGGTCATCCCTGTATTAAACAAACATCCTCAATAAGTGTGGAAATGCACACATGACCATGATGACTAAACGTTAAACAAAACTGCTTCCTAATCGGTCAAAGTTAGATAACTCTCCATAAAACAGAGAACAGAATTGATTTTTTTTTGTTTCATGACCGAAGTTATTTAATCAAATCTCACTTAAAATTAATTTTAAATTAAATTTAGAATAACATATAAATGCATTTTCAGAACTATATATGAATTAATAATGTACTTACCTTGTAAAAACTAAAGGATACTATAGAGAAGTGTCTCTCTCACTCAATGATGTATCATTCAAATTGAAATCACGATTCTTGTTTAGTGTTACAGGAATATCCCTCCGTACTACATCATTGTATCAACCCTGTTATAATCTGTTCGAGTGTTTGTGTCTCTCCTAAATCTGTGATGTACTGTATACCTATATATCTGTCTAATGTCTATATTGCAGCATCGTTGACATTTGTGTGGTAATGTGTGTATGTAATTATTTGTTTGTTTGGAATCTTGTACATGACTTTTTCTGAGACAGGCATTCCTATCATTTAATTTCCTAGCATGTAAACTGGAGGCAGATATATATATTTTTTATACTAAACACAGTTGACTTTCCCATCGGATAATACTGGGGCTCAACTCCAAATCAAACAATAACAATAGCTGTAGAGATTTGTTAATTAATTGAACAAAGTAATGTTTAACTGCACATTTTCATAATCTCACACTGAATTTTAGAAGATAGAATTCTGAGATTTAGGTAGACTTAGATGTAAAGATTTAAAGTAAGTGTGTTTTGGGTTATGGCAAGGCAAGTAACTCTTCACAGAGCTAATATACTACCAGAGTTATCTAACTTGTATCAGTTACACCATTAAATGTGTGTTAAATAACTTTTACTATCGGATGTTATATATATATATACATGTGTTATTTATTTGTATTGTTAAATTTGTATAGTAATTAGAATATTTTCTGTGTTTTTATACATATACATTGCAAAATTTTATGGTATGAATTGAAGAGCATATCTTAGTATGTTAAATCAATCTGTTAATACAAAGAAATATAGATCGCTGCAGACCTTGCTTTTATTTAATGAGCTAGAATTTTCTTTGGGCTGGTTGAAACAATGTAAAGGAAACAATGCACTTTATACCTCAGGTTTACAGACATGTGTTGTCTGTCTGTCTGTTTGTTTATTTCCCTGAAACTTTGAAAGATGGCCACCTTGATTTAATGTAGGGTTGTCCCTAATAATTAAAATAGCAGGAGATGTTAAAAAAGTAGGAGGAGGTCTGAGGTTCCTTCCTTAACAGGGGGATGAGGGGGAATACCAGAGTAGTGAGGGGAATTATGTCATTATTGGCGGGGAAATTCCCTGGCCCCCAGGTCTTAGGAACAACTCTGTAATGTATTGTTTTTCTATCTTGAAAAGAAACACACCTTTGGATAAAGGAAAACTGGGAACTAAAATGACTGCATTCAATTTCAAAATTGCCAAAATATGAGGGGAAAAAAACAAAGTTTGCATAAAGCATCTTTTTACAGCCAAAACTGTTGAGCTGTATATCATAATTCATAGACATCTGTTTGAATTAAAACTTCTTAAATAGTATGCATTTCATCACATTTGATAGCATAGTGTTTCACAATCTTTTTTCAGCAAAAACTACTTTTTTTTTGTAATTATGGAGTGTTCTTGTATTTGGTATGACTATATTGGTGCTGTTCTTAATTTTGGGAAGTTTTATGGAACCTTGGTAATTTATTTGAAAAACTGATTTTTGGATTAAGTTCAATCTTTTTTCGTAGAAAATCAGACATTCCACTTCAAAGATCGACATTCCAGAATTTTTATGCGAAATTAAGCTAATCTACTCCCAAACTAAAATATATTGTATTTTTGATTTTTTTTCCCATGTGCTAATGTAAATACAAAGCTCTAAACCAAAAATTCAAATATACTTAATTTTTTTAAACATTTTTTCAAAGTTCATAATGCTGCATTTTTTTTGAAAAGTAACATTATTTCATTGCCAAACTGTGAGCTCTTCTATTTTCTTCCTTTCTTTCTTTTTTATATTTTTATAGATATTGTATCTATTCTATCAGTCTAAATTTGTGTTTCAAACTGTGTATTTTTCTTTTTTTATTTTGGGAGGGATAGGTGTTGAGTAAAAGAATTTTTGGATATAAATGTTGATAATACAATAAAATATGATGATAATATTACTTCCTGAAAACCAGGTGGAAGTATTTAGTGTGTAGCTGTATATGACAATAGTTGCACAGGTTTATCATAGTTTTGTGTTTTGAAAAAAATGCAGTAAGTAAATTATGATAAATCTATTATTATAATAAACATGCTATTGTAATAAGTGTATTATTATGATAACAGGTTTTAATGACTTGAGTAGTGTATCTATTTATAGAATTCAGTGTGGCAAGATTAATTTTCTACAAACCACACTTTATTTGTTGCAGGTGAAATGCTTTGCTACGTGGCGCAGGCCATGATACACAATTAGCAGTTTACTTAAAAAAAAATTAAGAATTAATAAAAAAAAAGTTAAACATGCCAATTTTCTTGTTTTGTTTGTGAATATTGGAGAATGCAAATTGGGGTATGCAGAATATAGATGTGTACGACTATAGGTTCAGATTAGATCACTCCTTACATTCCTGGGGCCCGTTTTACAAAAGAGTAAGACCAAAATTCAATTCTGTTTATAACTTTCTTAATTATATTATATTGAAAATGGTTTTAATCTTTTTAAAAGGAATGTAGTAAGATATTTTTACACTGGCAATTTTAAACAGAATCTTTAATTTTTCAAAAGTTTACATTCAACTAAAGTTTTTGGTCTTAGTCGTAAGTTCTTTTGTAAAACGGGCCCTTGGATCGTAATTGACTTCAAAGGAGCTGAAAAATACAGTATCACAAATCAAGGGTCACTGACCCTCTGATACGATAACTCTTACTTCTTTTAACGACTATTATTCCATTTAAAAAATTGTGAAGTTAACAGGCCATTTCTGTTAAATTTTGCAACGCAGGGTATATGTTGAAATTGTTTGCATTTACATTATAATGTAGATTTCTTGTGGAAAATCCATATCTTGTATGATTAACAGAGGGGTGGTGGCCCTAAATCTTCTTGGCTATTTTGGAATACAAGTGGTGTGATGTATACCAGTTTTTGTAAATTGAAGCGACTTTAGTCAGACTATTCAAATAGGTAGAAAAGGGGTACAAACGCAATCTTCGATTCTTTAACAAAGAAATGGCCAGGAAAAGGAAAACTGAATTTAAATGTTGTTTTCCTATAAATTAAAACAAATATCTACTGTATTTCACTTCTCCAAAATTGCTTTTAAACATAACTAAATAACATTGACAACTAATTTACATAACGTTGACCTTTAACATGACCTTGAGTCAACGTCATGAAACACCTCAAACACAAACTCAATCTAAATAAAATTCGAATTAGGCCTATATTATGAATACTCAAATTTGATTTTTATTCCAATACCATAGTTCCAAAATTTTTCTAGATATAACAAACTTCCCATCTTCCCTCAGCCTCGATCTTGACGAATTTCATGATACCCTTAAGGAACCTATCTATATAAGGAACTGCTCACTGAAGAATTCTAATTCCATTGTAGTTTTATATGCAGTTAGAGTGATCTGCTCTTTCATGTAATATAGAAAAACAGAAATCTTAAGTAAATGACACAACTTGAAATAGATTAAAGTATTCATAACATTATCTTAGACCAATATAAAGTCATTGAAAACATTATTTACATGTATTTTCTCAATGTGAGGAAAAAACATTGATTTCTGTTCATTGTTATTTAAATGCATGTGTTTGGAAATTTTTCCGGGAGAAATATGCCAGGTACCCTACGTTGAAAATGAAATAGATAAGCTCAATGTGAACACCATTATAATTTTCTCAAAGTCTAACAAACATTTTTCATTAGTGTTTTAAAGAGCTTCCTTACGGTCATATACAGGCAACAGCATACTATAATTTTCTCTGTCGCTAAAACATAACATTACACTATTTCAGTTTGGTACTAAAAGACCTTGATCTATTAAGTATAACTTTAAGTTAAAGGTCTGTAGTGTAGGAACTTCGGGGGGGGGGGGGCTATATCATTATTTATCCCCAATAAAGAATTCGTTTTTATAGTTCCTTATGTTCAGTCACTTACGATTGACCAGGTAAAGACACGGAATTAAAGTTCAATGGAAAATTGCTTACTATTGTATAAGTACTCATTGATACATTTATACTTCAGATGATTTGCTCACTGTTATTAATTTTACTGGTTCACTTTATTTTTACAATTATACATTTTTTTAAATACAATATGTACATGTTGTGAAACATTGATGCCCTCTTGTGGAAGCTCAAGAAAGCCCTAGTATCAACCGTTCAGGGGTTATGGCCCAAGCTAGGTTAGAGTATTCAAAGTATGTCAAACCCCAATGTCAAAAATATTGATAGCCGGGAAAAGGTCTTTCACAAGGAATACGCATATGTGAAAAATGAACATGCCCTATATATATAGCACCAGCCGTTCCGCAGAAGTTATAAGAACAAAAGTTAATTTTTTTCCAGTTTGCGGACAGATAAACATACGGACGGACAAACCAAAAACTATATGCCCCAATATCCCCGATTTTGGGGACAGAGTATCGTATGAATGAAAGACAGATAAACACACAGACACAAACGCACAATATTCATGTCAGAATATTCAGGGCACTGTCTTGCAGCAATCTTTCTTTAAAAAAAAAAAATAGAATAAGAAAAGGTGTTACAAATGTGCTAATGGACCCAGATTTTTTTTCCGGAGGAAGAACTTATGGTCTTGCCCACTGAAAAGGAAAGGAAAGAAAGGAAAAAAACCAAGTTAATAAGAAAAAAGTATACGCATGAATTTAAGAGATATCTTATTTCAATATTTGTGTTTCTGCTGTGGGGAATAAAAAATATCAAAAACTGTATCCCGACAAAGAGAGGGTTCTTCAAATAAATGTTAGTAATTGATAATTGACCATATATAGACACTACACAACTCTGATTTTGAAATCACAATTTAAAGTGTATAAACTCTTGATGAAACGCGGTTAATTGTTGCTGGGTGGAGTTGCAAGCAAGGCGATCCGTCTCATATCATAGTTTGTCGGACATACAGATTGAAAAGATAATTAAACTCTCTCTCTCTTCTTGAGATTATTACAACAGATATAATTTGAAAAGCAGGTATAGGCCTATGCATTATTTTTTTTAGATCCGCGCCTACAAAGCCTAAGTATTGAAATACTCAAGAGTAAGTTCCCTTACAAATCTCAAACAATAACAAACGAGTGTCAACAATAAACACCCGCTAGAAAACCGTAAAATAAACAAAGCCGACCATATTTTGAGTATTTGAGAACTTTTACAGCAAAAGATATTTTTAAACGTTAATTTTCTCACAAAAGATTTTCGGAGAGAAAAATTCGTCTGTCCGTGAAAAGGTCAAAGGTCGATGAGATCAGCTGTCAAATTCTGTGACAGGAAAAAGAAGAAACTAGTCGCCAAACTCTGAATGTGGATATCCCGGGGATAATATTTACTTTTTATGAATTTAAGAAAAATTGTGCCGACTCGCTTCGTTCATTTAATAAAACCCGAAAATTTAGCGAAGACCAAAGTCACGTGACCTTGGAAGTTTTTCGTAAACAAGAACGGAAAAGGCGAACAGATGGAGGGATAAAACTTCGCGTGAAATTTCCATAAAAGGAGACGATTATCATCGCGAAATCGTCGGAAGATGTAGTGTTAATGTCCGTCTGTCTGTCTGTGCACACGATGTCGTAGCAAGCGAGGATTTGGGGTGAAATATGAAGCCAGAGACAGGTAGATATTGTTTTGCCCTAAATCCATATTTCCCCACTGTCTACGTGTAAACGGTCAAAATTGTAATAATATACACAAGGTAGATCATTCGTAGATATTTAGAGCAGTAACGTTTAATGGGAAGTTAAATATCTGTAGAAATCGTGACTGTGTGTGAGTTTTCATTGTTTCATCATCAGGTTGTCGTTGTCCTGCATGAGTCACGTCAAAACAGCTGATTGGTCAGCGAGAACTCGCACTGATCCCCACCCTGCACATAATAATACCCCCTCTACTTTAAGTCAATAATTGTATGAGATTGTATGAGGGTGGAAAGTAACAGGCCTATAGGGGATTACTTCCCCCCTTTTCAACACCAGTCCTCCAACATGGACAGTGAACAGTGGTGAAGGCAGCACACATGCAAGTTTTCCTCTTCACCTAGAACTATGTCTAAGTGTAAGCTAGGAAGTACAGTCAAACCTCAATTCTTCAGCCTTGAGAAAGAAATTGAGATATTTGAGATATTGATCGATGTTAAAGTACAAAAAGAAAAATTGCACGGCTATTATTAAAACTTCCAAATTACTTCAACATATTATCCAAGCTATTTGGATACTGATGATCGAGATAATGATGTTTAGTTGTACAAGAATATGTTGGGGGTAAGAATGGAAGAGAAAGGGTTGGTAGCAGTGTCCTCCCTAAGAACCGGCTACCGGCCAAATTGATCGCTTCAATTGGTAAAAATGCTTCTTTGAAATAAAAAAATCAAATTTAATTGGTGTAATTAAGGTCCACAGAAATTTGTCTTCAACCCAAAGCCTGTTACAATTTGATCTCTAACCCTTTGCTTTGAAATAAATTGAAAACACTGCGCAGGAACTACAAATAACAAGGGCATATATTACATATATCACAGAGCCCCCTCCCTCCTTCCCTCTTTTCATGTTCAATCCTGCAATCCTGCTCACAATTCTGTCCTTAGATAAAGTGGAAACATCTCTACACTTGTAAAGGTGTCAGTGCTGAGTGACATCATTTTATTTAAGTAAACGAAAAGTTATTTTTTGAAAGTTTAAATAATGATCAATGTGCACTACGAAGTCTCTGTAGAATTTAAAACTTCTCCCTAAATTTCTCTGAAATGTAGAAAGATGATATAATATGCAGATGCACTGTCAGAATGATGCTCTTTAGTAATTTAGTTTTACTGGTTACATCATAATTGGATTAACTATCTCAAGGAAATATAGAGGAAGTACTTTTCCCTTTTCCACATTGGAACCCCCCCCCCCACTACTCTGTGTCAGGTTTTTCAGAATGGTAAAGTCATATGGCACTAGAGCAGATTCAGTTCCCATAGCAGTCGTAGAGAGTTTGACCAGTCTGGCTCCTGCCTTAGAGTTGACATTTAAGTTGTCCCTTTATATAATTATAATAAAACTGTCTTGAGGTCATCTGGTCAGTACAATTTGTTGTTGTTTACAGTTTTTTTGGTCTGAAGGAGTTAGGTGATTAGAGAAATCTGAAAACAAGTGTAAATTACATACATGTAAGAAATTCCACGTAGTTTTCTATAATTATTTAGTTCTGATCCAGCATGTCTAATGAACCCAAGATATATAATAGTTATTTTTGACTAAAATTTGCTTTAAGTTCTACAGTATACACTGGACATGTAGTGGGTTTTAAGAAATTGTGATAAAATTGCACATACTCTGACCCCATCCCACCTGTCTGACTGTGAGGCATACACAGATTACCTAGATTTTGTTATGAGAACTTAAAGACACAATCAATTGTGAACAAAGGGACCATGCAGTTACCTGATCTAGATTTAAATGACTCTAATGAAGCTAATAGATCCACCCCTCTATTTTTAAATCCCTGTACATGCAAGTAAATCTAGGATACACCTGTGTATATTTCAATGCCCAAACTGTAAAATCTTGGATCCACCTATATGTATTTCAATCCCCGTAATGTAAAATCTTGGACCCCCTTTTGTACTTTTAGGATCGCCAGACATGGAGGAATGCGTTTGGGACCCAGTGATGTTCTTTGTGGATGTTGGAATTCTGATTGTTGAAGCAAGGACCCCTGACCTTTCACCCAAAGGTCGAAGCGAGGGTCTTCACTGCCCCCCAGCACAGACAGGTCGAGGGGTCAAGGTGAAGCCCAGTCACCTCTGTGATCTACACAGAGAACAGGTCAGTGATGCATGAAATCAATTTGGTTTTAGTTTTGTAAACTGACCTCCTGCATTTTATGTAAAGACCAGAGGCCTGTTCCACAGAGCGAACGTTCACGAGCTCTCGCAAAAATTCCTTATACCTCCAACAGAAATGTTCGTGAGCGCTCGCTCTGTTGAACAGGCTTAAGGTGACATGTTTGCATTTTTCTGTAGCAAGTACAACAATCTGTTTATCATGTAACCTTTGTTGTTAACTATTGTTGTAATATTTGAATATTGTATGTAATTGAAGTTTAACATAAAATTTTGATATTGTCACCCTGAGAAATCCATTGGCACTAAAGGCATTTAGAAATTAATGTCTGACTCAGTTTAGAGACAATAACACACTCATTTGAGGTCTGACCATCATGTGATGTTTCCAGCTCTGTGCTACGTAATGTTTACATTTACAATTTTACATTTTCTACCTCAGTTATATTATGTTTATGATTTTACAATTTACACTATTTAATGTTAGTAATGTTTCTAAAAGTTTAGGATTTTAAAGTCCAGTGCTATGTAATGTTTGAGTTATTTGACAATTTAGCATAAACTATCTTGTTTAGGATTTTGCAGTGCTGTGCTATGAAATGTTTACGTTTATGATTTTACAGTGCCGTCGAGCAGACCAGATGAAGTCCCAGATCCTGGGTCTCTCTCGGAATCACATTCCACTAAACATTGATGTGATGCTGTTGCCAGACTGTGATCATGGTCGTCTGGAGGCTTGTTCTGTAGATGGGAGTGGGGTGGGATCTAATGATGACTTGATTCTACTGGAGAGATGGGAAATTTTACTACAGCAGAAGAGGTATCTATCTGTCTGTCTATCTGTCTATCTATCTGTCCATCTGTCTGTCTATCTGTCTGTCTAGCTGTATATCTGTCTATCTGTATGTCTATCTTATGTCTATCTGTCTGTCTATCTATCTATCTGTCTGTCTATCTGTCTATTTTTCTGTCTCTCTAATGACTGGACTTGTGTGGTTGGTAACAATGATTCAGTGCTATTGGAGAGATGGGAAATTCTTGATCAGAAATTCTGGGGGCAATCACTCTTACACGCTAGAGAATACCCAGGTCCCAGAATGGGCAACAAATGGTAGAAATATTACAGAGACGTGTATATGCCTATGCTAGGATTTGAACCCGGGGCCTCTGGCTTGTCAGTCGAGTGCTCTACCAGTTGAGCTCAATTGGTAGAGCACTGGACTGGCATGTAAGCCAGAGGCCTGGGAATCAAATCCTAGTGGAGGCATATACATATATACAGTAAAACTTGTTTAGTACAAACACGGATATAGAGAATTCACGGATATAGCAAAGTTTTTTAGCTCACCTGAGCCGAAGGCTCAAGTGAGCTTTTCTGATCACATTTTGTCTGTAGTCCGTCTGTCCGTCTGTAAACTTTTCACATTTTCGACTTCTTCTCAAGAACCACTGGGCCAATTTCAACCAAACTTGCCACAAAGTATCCTTGGGTAAAGGAGATTCAAGTTTGTTCAAATGAAGGGCCACGCCTTCTTCCAAGGGGAGATAATTAAGAATTTGTGAAAAATTAATGGCATCATTAAAAAATCTTCTTCTCAAGAACCACTGTGCTTGAAAACATGAAACTTATGTGGAAGCATCCTCAGGTAGTGTAGATTCAAGTTTGTTCAAATCATGACCCCCGGGGGTAGGGTGGGGCCGAAATGGGCAATCAAAGTTTTACATAGGAAATATACAGGAAAAATCTTTAAAAATCTTCTTCTCAAGAACAGCAAAGCCATGATTGGTCATATTTATATGGTAGCATCCTCAGGTAGTGAAGATTCAAGTTTCTTCAAATCATGACCCCCGGGGGTCGGGTGGGGCCACAATGGGCGATCAAAGTTTTACATAGGAATATATGGGAAAATCTTTAAAAATCTTCTTCTCAAGAACAGCAAAGCCAAGATTGGTCATATTTACTTGGAAGCATCCTCAGGTAGTGTAGATTCAAGTTTGCTCAAATCATGACCCCCGGGGTTCAGGTGGGGCCACAATGGGCGATCAAAGTTTTACATAGGAATATATAGGAAAAAATCTTTAAAAATCTTCTTCTCAAGAACAGCAAAGCCATAATTGGTCATATTTACATGGAAGCATCCTCAGGTAGTGTAGATTCAAGTTTGTTCAAATCATGACCCCCGGGGGTCAGGTGGGGCCACAATGGGCGATCAAAGTTTTACATAGGAATATATAGGAAAAAATCTTTAAAAATCTTCTTCTCAAGAACAACAAAGCCATGATTGGTCATATTTATATGGTAGCATCCTCAGGTAGTGTAGATTCAAGTTTCTTCAACTCATGACCCCCGGGGGTCGGGTTGGGCCACAATGGGTGATCAAAGTTTTACATAGGAATATATAGGAAAAAATCTTTAAAAAATCTTCTTCTCAAGAACAACAAAGCCATGATTGGTCATATTTATATGGTAGCATCCTCAGGTAGTGTAGATTCAAGTTTCTTCAACTCATGACCCCCGGGGGTCAGGTGGGGCCACAATGGGCGATCAAAGTTTTACATAGGAATATATAGGAAAAAATCTTTAAAAATCTTCTTCTCAAGAACAACAAAGCCATGATTGGTCATATTTATATGGTAGCATCCTCAGGTAGTGTAGATTCAAGTTTCTTCAACTCATGACCCCCGGGGGTCGGGTTGGGCCACAATGGGTGATCAAAGTTTTACATAGGAATATATGGGAAAATCTTCAAAAATCTTCTTCTCAAGAACAGCAAAGCCATGATTGGTCACATTTACATGGAAGCATCCTCAGATAGTGTAGATTCAAATTTGTTCAAATCATGACCCCCGGGGGTCGGATGGGTCCACAATGGGCGATCAAAGTTTTACATGGGAATATATGGAAAATCTTCAAAAATCTTCTTCTCAAGAACAGCAAAGCCATGATTGGTCATATTTACTTGGAAGCATCCTCAGATAGTGTACATTCAAATTTTTTCAAATCATGACCCCCGGGGGTCAGGTGGGTCCACAATGGGCGATCAAAGTTTTACATAGGAACACATAGTAAAAATCTTAAAAAAAGCTATTTGTTAAGAACAGCAAAGCCATGATTGGTCATATTTATATGGTAGCATCCTCAGATAGTGTACATACAAACTTGTTCGAATCATGACCCCCGGGGGTCGGGTGGAGCCACAATGGGCGATCAAAGTTTTACATAGGAACACATAGTAAAAATCTTTAAAAAAACTATTTGTTAAGAATAGCAAAGCCATGATTGGTCATATTTAAATGGAAGCATCCTCAGATAATGTAGATTGATTTCAAATTTGTTCAATTCATGACACCCCCCCCCCCCAACCACTTTTATATTTAAACTTTTCAACCTTTCAAGATTGAAGTGATTTCTGCTTTTTCCTAGCCATAGTGCTCAGGTGAGCGATGTGGCCCCTGGGCCTCTTGTTTGAATCCCCGGCAAAATTCTTAACAAATCGTAGGAAAATATAACAGAATTATTACAAACTCTGATATAACGAATTTACAGATATAGCAAACTGATTTTGTGTCCCGTAGAGGTTAAAATAATGAAAATTACATCTTTTATAACAAATTTTCAATATTTTAATCTTCAAAATATAAAACTGACATTATTCCATTCCTCAGAAATATTTAGTACCCCAAGTAAAATTTTCTATTTAATACCTCCCAGAGTATATTTGGTAGTCATATTTGAAGGAAAAGATGCATATTGCGAATTCATTATATATACTTTAACGAATTCGTTATATGGATATAACAAATTACAGATATAATTATAAATGAGTTTTACTGTATTGCCTTGCTGTCTTTTTATTGTATTTTACCTCTTACAGGAGTTATCAGGTGGAAATGGAAAGTGTGACTGGGCAGTTCTTATTCAGGCCCTCAGTTGGTCTATTTGTTCTAATTGTTGTTTATTTATAATAGGAGTGATCAAGTTGACGAGGGAAGTGTGACTGGGCCATTCTTATTCAGGCCCTCAGTTTGTCTGTCTGTCTGTTTTATTGTTTTTTTTTATTATAGGAGTGATCAAGTCGACCCGTGCAGTGTGACAGGGCCATTCTTACTTCAGGCCCTCAGTTTGTTTGTCTGTCTGTCTGTTTTATTGGTTTTTTTTTATTATAGGAGTGAACGAGTCGACCCGGGAAGTGTGACGGGGCGATTCTTACTTCAGGCCCTCAGGTCTTATCTCCATTTCTCACAACTGAGTTCCTGGCTCATCTCTCACCGGGGTCATCTACCCCTGCAAATTATATACAGGTTTGTTCCAAAATATTCACCTTACAAATTATGTACAGGTCTGTACTAAAATAGATAGTTACATACCAATTTTCTTCAGGTCTGTACTTAAAAATGACCTAGTCTGTACAAAAATATACATAGTTTATAAATTATGTACAGGATTTACCAAAATATATACTTCACCAAGTTTTAAATTTTTTGTACATACCAAAAGTATTCAGTTTGAAACAATTTATATTAAGCAATACCAAAGTTATCTGTCTGCATATTTAGCAAAATCATTAATTATGTGAAAAAAATGTTTTTCCTAGAAAGATATTTTCAATTTTGAGAAAAGAAAGTGCAAATTATTAAGGTTTAATGAAGTTTCTATTTATAGGCTGTACTCCCCTGGCGAGACGGGGATTCACGTATTCACCTCTGACAGTGAGACACACAGCTTCCCCATCGCAGATCTCGGGACCGAGATACTCAAAGTCTCAGTTATCTCACTACCGAGACTTCCTGAGATCCCCATGCTTTTGTGTCAAGACTATAAAAATGTCTCCATGAGGAAAAAACCTAGCCCTGAGAGGGATCTGGGGTTAAAGGTCAAGTCTGAGTCAGGCAAACTAAATACCAACAAGATATCAAGTGCAGCTGAACCAAATGTTCAGCCCAGTCCATGTGTACCGGAGGGAAAATGGAGCAAGAAAACAGAAGAGTTACGGAGAACATCCCCTGAGTTGTTTCAGGATCAGGGGACCAGTTTAACCAATCTTAATCAAAGAACCAGAGTAGAAAACATACATCAGGAAAAAGGACTTTCTGGAGGTCAAGGTTTAGGAGCCATTCCGAAAAAGAAAAACTTGATGCAGAAGCCTGGTCCTGACTCTCTAGCCTCCAAACCACCAGTTGTCAAGAAACTTCAGGCTAAGATGGGGGCTGACCAACCATTCAGTCCAGATATGTCGGAACTAAAAATGTCCTTCAAGACACGCCCACTGCCACTCTTACCTGATGATCCAACCAATCAGAAAGACCCAGACTTCCTGATTGCTAGGTTACCAAGTCCTAAAGTCCTGTTATCAACAGCTGGAAAATCTAATCAGACATTCTACAAAAAGCGCCATTTAGACCTCAGTTCACCGGAATCATTCGAGGACCGTGTCCTGACCAGTAAGATATCGAGCTTCGTGAAGCCTCCAAATTCCGAAGATCTGGAGAGTTACCTAGCCAGCCTAACGTCACACCAACCAGAGAAAGGCACTGGAACCAGTCTAAGCAACATTCCCACAATGCATTGTAAATTCTTTGACGGAGATGAAGCAAGTAAAAGTTCTTCTTCAATGAAGTCACACAGAAAGACTAAACAGTGTCTCCAAGAATCGTCCGCTTCACCATCACTGGCTGAACAGGTTCAAAAGAAATATCCTGGATATGACTCAAAACAAACTCCACAGAAATGGAACAATAAAAGATCAGGGACATCTGTTATCTGTGACCTTCAGTTCTCACCAGAATCTCCCAGTACCTTACACACACAGAAATCATATGAACAGAAACATTCAAGAGACCAGTTAGAAACTGACAGTGTATTACCGTCCAGTGATTCTGTAGAAAAGTGTGAAATTAAAGACAAGTATACCTCATCTCAAAGACTGGACACTGACAGAGAGTGGAGAAGATTTCAGAGTCCAGAAAGACTGTCCCCAGAATCCTCTAACACATACTCATTGTTTGATGATTTTGTCGATGATATTTACAACATTAAGCCCCAGTCCGGTAGCACACTACAGAGTATACCCTGTGTTAATAGTAGGGCCTATGTCGACAACACAGAGAGCAAAATTGTAGATGCACAAAATCCCAACTCAAATTGTTTACAAAACAAATCTGATTTAGGATTAACTCCAGACTTCCATAATAACTCTAATCTGTACAGATACTCAGATTCTAAACCTAGTTTCAAGAAAAGCTTTTCTGAACCAGAGATGCTGGGGAAGCAGTTGACATTATGTCAGTTGGATGAATTAAAACTTTCTCCCGACGAGAATCTATCAGATCTAGACGCTGTGTTATCGAAATCATTCCATGACATTTTAAGTCTCGACAAATCGTCCAGTGACTCTACGCCCACCAATAGTCTTTCAGAGTCCAACGGATTCAAGCATTATTGTGATACAGATGTAGGTATAAACTCAGACAGGAATGTGACAATTTCCTCCCCTTCAAAGTGTTCAATGGACCAAGACATAGCAACTCTAGCCAATACTGTGAATAACAAATGTGATGGAGAAATAGACTCCAGAAAAACAAAGCCTGTTAAGTCTGCAAGTAGTGAAGCTGAGAGGAATGGATTTATAGAAGGTGGATCCAATAGTGGTGGATGTAAAAGGAGAGGGGACCTAGAGGATGGATCTAACAGGGGTGGATCTCAGAAAAATAAGTCTTCACTGTGTAAACTACTGCTGAGGAAAGAACTACAGCGGTCTTATAACAATGTAAGTACTACTGTTAATCTGATAAGAATCATCACAAAATTATCACATTATCAGACATATTATATTAAGTTTAATTGTACTTCTACATCAAATTGGCTTTAAATTCTTTCTTCTCAGCAGATATTAAGTGAAACCTCTGGGTGGTAATTGAATATGTTAATGCATAATGAATATGGAGTAATTGAAATTCAATGATTTTTTTCATGTTAATTATCAGTAAAAAAAACTTGAGAAGATCCAGAATGATTTAGAAATATTAAGAATTGAGGCTAATTTTTAAAATGTTTTTATAGGATCCGTTGGAGACAAAATTTCCAACTCAGGAGCAGGTGAACCACTTCCAAAGAAATCTTCAGCAGTCGTCCAGTATGGTATTCAACTCTAGTACAGGTCTTCCAACTCGATCTAGTCCAGTAAGTCACAAATCACGAGCTATTGTGTTTAGTCTCTAGCTGTTCTAGTTATAGTTACAAGCAAGTCAACTGAGTCACAATTTTGTTAAATGAGTCAAGAGTTTAGTAAGTCATAAGTTAGAACAATGGATCACTCCACTCAATCTAACATCAACTCTCCACTCAATCTAACATCAACTCTCCTGCTTAACCTAACATCAACTCTCCACTCAATCTTTTATCAACTCTCCACTCAATCTAACATCAACTCTCCTGATCAATCTAACGTCAACTCTCCACTCAATCTAACATCAATTCTCCTGCTTACGCAGTACAGTTAAGGTGACAAATGGAAATATCAGCGAATTTTTTATATAGAAAATACATTCTTTACAAGGATGGGCGATTCTTTTTAGGACTTTACTATTATCAGACAAATGTAATGTGGTTGAAAACTACATGTTGGGGACGATTAGATTTCTTACCTAGACTTGTGACGTAATGTGGCAGTCATGTGATTTTAGCAAATATACCTGCAGTATTGAGGTCATCTTCCAATATTGCAAGGGCATAACCGAGTTGAAAATCTAAGTTTAATTTATAATTATTTTCAACACTCTTTGTAGTTTGTGAAAAGTGCTGCGAACCTATATAGATTCTACTATATGACTGCTAAAATTACGTTTGTTAGACCATATGCTGAATATTTTGCTGGTCAAGTACATTAAATATAGATATAATTAATTCATTTGCAAGATTTCATCAGGTTCGCAGCACTTTTCAAATATCTTCATACCTTTTGAGTTTATGTGTAAAAGCTTGTCATAATTCATTGAGGGTATGCCCTTGCAATATATCGATTTATTACGACCCTTCTATTACCCTTCAATGAATCTGCATACAAATATACGGCAGTATCGCTTGTCTAGGAAATGTACAGGAAGTATATGATTAAAATCATAAAATATACATCGCATCCGAGTTAATGGCCTCTCATATATCTGCAAATATATTTTATTTACTTACAAAATACATTTTTCATTGTATAAAATATAACTTGATCCGCCTCTCTCTGCATACAAACTGCGTCAAATTTTGCAATATAACGTCACATTGATAAGTGCATTGCGATCAGTGAACTGTTTATATATTGCTCTGTGGGATTAAACCAACGACAAAAATACATGCAATAGTAAGTATTGATGTAGTTTAAAGCTATCCAACAGTTTAAAATAGCAAATCATTTCATTTTGTAGTAATTTGAAGAACATATACATTTGTGTGATGTCATAGTAAGCATTTCCCGTAAAAATTAGGCCCCGCCTCCTTACTGCAGCCTTAACTGTGCTGCGTAATCTAACATTAACTCTCCTGATCAATCTAACATCAACTCTCCACTCAATCTAATATCAACTCTCCTGATCGATCTAACATCAACTCTCCACTCAATCTAACATCAACTCTCCTGATTGATCTAACATCAACTCTCCACTCAATATAACATCAACTCCCCACTCAATATAACATCAACTCTCCTGCTCAATCTAACATCAACTCTCCTGCTCAATCTAACATCAACTCTCCACTCAATCTGACATCAACTCTCCACTCAATCTAACATCAATTCTCCTGATCAATTTAACATCAATTCTCTTGATCAATCTAACATCAACTCTCCTGATCAATCTAACATCAACTCTCCTGATCAATCTAACATCAACTCTCCTGCTCAATCTAACATCAACTCTCCACTCAATCTGAAATCAACTCTCCTGCTCAATCTAACATCAACTCTCCATTCAATCTAACATCAACTCTCCTGATCAATCTAACATCAATTCTCCTGATTGATCTAACATTAACTCTCCACTCAATATAACATCAACTCCCCACTCAATATAACATCAACTCTCCTGATCAATCTAACATCAACTCTCCTGCTCAATATAACATCAACTCCCCACTCAATATAACATCAACTCTCCTGATCAATCTAACATCAACTCTCCTGCTCAATCTAACATCAACTCTCCTGATCAATCTAACATCAACTCTCCACTCAATCTGACATCAACTCTCCTGCTCAATCTAACATCAACTCTCCATTCAATCTAACATCAACTCTCCACTCAATCTGACATCAACTCTCAACTCAATCTGACATCAACTCTCCTGCTCAATCTAACATCAACTCTCCACTCAATCTAACATCAACTCTCCTGCTCAATCTAACATCAACTCTCCACTCAATCTGACATCAACTCTCCTGCTCAATCTAACATCAACTCTCCACTCAATCTAACATCAACTCTCCTGCTTAATCTAACATCAACTCTCCTGATCAATCTAACATCAACTCTTCTGATCAATCTAACATCAACTCTCCACTCAATCTAACATCAACTCTCCACTCAATCTAACATCAACTCTCCTGCTCAATCTAACATCAACTCTCCACTCAATCTAACATCAAATCTCCTGATCAATCTAACATCAACTCTCCACTCAATCTAACATCAACTCTCCTGCTCAATCTAACATCAACTCTCCACTCAATCTAACATCAACTCTCCACTCAAACTAACATCAACTCTCCTGATCAATCTAACATCAACTCTCCACTCAATCTAACATCAACTCTCCACTCAATCTAACATCAACTCTCCTGATCAATCTAACATTAACTCTCCACTCAATCTAACATCAACTCTCCTGATCAATCTAACATCGACTCTCCACTCAATCTAACATCAACTCTCCACTCAATCTAACATCAACTCTCCTGCTTAATCTAACATCAACTCTCCACTCAATCTAACATCAACTCTCCACTCAATCTAGATAAATTATGAACACAGAATATGTCAAGGGCTAGTACTTTGTTAAGTCACAATTCAGTCTTGACTAAAAAGAATCACATATGCTCTTGATTGGTGGTTCATGATCTAGTCTAGTAAGCCATGGTTTAGTCTGATAAATCGTGATCTAGTCCAGTGTAAGCAGCACTTTGTGGTAAAAGACAGTCCTATATTTTCTAAATTGACTGAGAATTGACACCCTCCTCAATGTGTAATTCTTTTCTTTTACAGGCCCCTTTGAAGAGGAGGACGGTGGGAAGGTTTGACTACGACAACACTCTCGTCAACTCCAGGGCCATCAAAAAGTAGGTCAAAAAACAATGTATCAATACTCTCACTAACTCCAGAGCGATCAAAAAGTAGGTCAAAAAACAATGTATCAATACTCTCGTCATCTCCAGAGCCATCAAAAAGTAGGTCAAAAAACAACTTATCAGTATTCTCGTCAACTCCAGAGCCATCAAAAAGTAGGTTAAAAACTAAAAGTTCATGTACAGCGAAGATATATTTTTTTTCTTTTGATGCAAGAGAGATAACTCCTGTTTACTTATTACTAAGTTTTGAAGCAAATCACCATTACAGATGACTTGTAACTTAAAATCTTTAGAATAAAATTTAAAAAAACTTCAGTATATAACCTCTACAGATATTCCTCATTAAGTGTTTATGCTTGTTTTGTGATTCAATTGCATTAAATCAAAATTAACAACAAAAATAATTAACTTGACAGTGCTCTCTCCTGTTCCAAACTGGCCTTGGAATCTGAGAGTTCAAGGTCATCTGTCACACCTGACCAGTCACGAACCCTAAGTACGTCTGCACCTGCCTCTACCAACTGCCTTCTGGGAAACTTTGAGGTGAGGCATCATTCTAATGTTTTTAAATAAAATGTGATATTACTTTTTTAAAGTGTTTTTAAGCTATATACCTAAGGCTTAGAAACTCATGATTTCACCTCGATTTCATCTGAGTTGTTAGAATTATGCAGATAGTTACATATTGATATGTATATTGTAAATTATATTGATTATTTCACTAGACTTTATTTTCTTGAGAACGTACATTGAAGCATAACATTTATTTGCTTGACAAAATTTACCGTATTAATGTACAGAAAAAATGTATAGAAAAAAAGAAAAAAATTAGGGTTATTGATTTTTGCTGAAAAACATTGCATTCATGTTTAGTATTTTTAACTTAAACTGTTAATATGACTGAATTGTAACTGCAACAGAGTGAATCTCTGTCAACTTTCACTGGATACAAAATGTTTCAAAGTATATTTTCCTTGTTTGATATTTTTTCAATTATTATTAAAAAGAACTGCAAATGATAGTAATGTTCTGCTGCCTACCTCCAAGTCATTTTTCAAAAATTGACATCTTTCAATGATTTTTTCATATTTATGTAGATATTTTTGTGAAAAAACTTGATTTTAATGGAAAAGAATATTCAAAGACTGTGAATAGTCGCGTTGAATTTTTGACACAGTTTTTAAAATTATTAAAATTAAAGTTTTAAAATTATTAATCAATTATAAATGCACTTTTCTTTCAATTAAATAAGTTTTAATGGGCAAATTGCCATTTATATTGAATTAAATGGGTTTAAAATGTAGGCAAAAATTGAAAGTTAGCATTCGTAGTTTTTTCAGTCTCTTTAGACATATTATGATATATATCATAGACTTTGAAATAAATTGATGTGTGATATTTATTTTTCAGGAGTCTGTGTTGAATGGTCGGATTGAGCCAATAGGAGCAGTGGAGGGCTTTACCTGTGATATTGGAGCCGGGGGATCATTCTGTCCCAAACATGTGTCACTTCCTGTCACGGCGTATTTCTTCCAGCTGTCGGACGACAACGCCCCCTCACCTTATCTCGTAAGTTAACACAGCTGTTTCACAAGCCCTTTTTTGTCAGGCCTTATGAAATTGGATTGAGGGGAAGGTGTCTTGCAGTCCAAATACATGTAGCAAGAAGCTAAAAATGAAATTTCATGGCTATACTGAGTCAAATTACTGTTAGAAGTTCAATTCTATGGTGTTAAACTTTGTAAATTTCTCAAAAACTACCACCTGCAATTGTTTTAATTTCAAGATGAAAGAAATCAATTTAAATTTAAAGAAATTTTGTTTTTGTACTGCATTAAAATGTGTTAATATATTAAAATAAATGACGCAAACAGGTAGGCATTACACAATTTCTTAAATTTTTTCTTAAATGAAATCTATATTTTTTCTCTATAATTTTTCAGGGTCATATAAATCTGGAGAGCTTGGGAAAGAAAGGCTACCATATACCAAAATGTGGGACAGTGCAAGTTGTACGTATCACTAAACCTTCTGCATATACATATTACTAATAACATTATAATGCAAACAATTACAAAAAATTGATTTTTTTTTGGGGGGGGGTGTATTACTGTTCAAAAAATCTAACTGAGAGGAATGGAGGTGTTTAAATAGGTGTCTAGTGAAATTTTCAGATTCCAACAGCAGATTATCAGAATTTTTTTTTTCCCAGACCTTATTTAACCCGAACAAGACGGTCATCAAAATGTTTGTCGTCTTGTATGATCTCAGTGATATGCCACCTCAGAGTCAAACATTCCTACGACAGAGAACTGTGTACATGCCAGTGGAAGACAACAGCTCTCAGCCATCATATCTCAGATACCTCATACATCTCAGGTGAGATATATCTTAGATACTTCATACATCTCATGTGAGATATATCTCAGATACCTCATACATCTCAGGTGAGACATTTGACTGATACCCCATACATCTCAAGTGCAATATATTTCAGATACTTCATTTATCTCAGGTACCTCATTTATCTTGAGTAAAATATTTGTCTGATATATCATGTGAGATTTATCTCAGAAATCTCATTTATCTCAGATACCTCAATTATCTCTGATACCTCGTTTATCTCAGATGAGATATTCGACTGATATCCCATATATGAAATATTTGACATATCCTCTTTGTCTCAGGTGAGATTTTTAAGTTTACTTACACATATAAAATACTTATTAGATATCTCATAAATCTTAGGGTTATATTTGTCAATTACTTCATTCATCTGAGTCTTATTTCAGAGATCAATATATTAACCTGAGATTTATCTTGTATTCCCTAAGCATCTCATTTATCATTGGAGTCAACTTCCAAAACACATATCTCACTGCACTTAAAAGTTCTATGTTTTTAAGGTTTGCCAGTTCCAAATCTGGGAAGATCTTTCTGCATACAGACATCCGTGTGTTGTTTGCAAGAGACAAGTTTGAATTTGACCCAAATGTTGCCAAATATGAACTCCGATCATTCACTGAGGCTCCTTCCAACCCCAAGTTCTCTCCACGGAGGTGATGATGGCCTTAACTAGGTCAAATCTGGTGTAAACTAGGTCAGATTTGGTATAAACTAGGTCAAATCTGGTTTTTAGGAAAACCGTTCTTTGATTGTGGCCACGTAAAGACCATAAGCTTGTTAAGTCTGTTAATCTAACTCAGATCTAGTTTATTTTGTTGTTGACTGATTTATAAATGGTTAAGGCTAAAACTAGGTCATTGTATCTAGGTCATTCCTGGTCATGTATGAATGTTAAAGTCTACATGTGTATCATCTTTTTAAAAACTTTATGTCAAAGATTATAATCTGTGTGTGCTGGGTTGATTTTTTTTATTTATGTATGAGAGTCAGTGAGTGTTTGATCCTTATTGTTACCTGTAGGTAGGCTTATTGATTGACACCTGTCATATTAGAATATTAAGGATGTACAGAAATACTTTAACAGAATTGTAAATGTAATACCGTAACTTCAATATTTGTAATATATGTGATATCCTGTCCTCTTTATGAATTTGCTGAAAACAGAAAACACATGAATCCTATCAATACTGTAAACTTTTGTATTGAAAAGGAAAGTATCAGTTTTTGAGTATTTATCTGAAGAGATTTAGATTTCCTCATTGTTCAAAAAATATGTACAAAAGTAACACAAGGAAAACCATATCTAATCTCTCTATTTCTGTCTCTCTCTCTTATACACAAAATGACAGTGTAGGTATTGTTTAATGATGCCTTGTTTATTATGGAGTCTATGTTGATTTTGGTCTGATTCAGATTATTTCAGTTTTATTTAAGATTTGAGTGTGTAGTTTTATAGCTTATTCTAATATTTATTTGTTTAAGATCACTATGTAATCATTTTTTTCTGATATAAACTTGTGTAGAAAGATAATGTTGTCATTCGTTTATGCTTTATTCCTCTCCTATGACAATTATATGAAAGTATAAAGTTAGATGTATGTAATCAAATATAAACACATAATACATATAAATACAAAAACACAAAATTACAAACATATCATATAAATGACAAAATGAACATGATAGAGGAACGAAAAATGAAAAAAAAAATAATAAAAAAAATTAAGTAAGATATTAAAAAAATGATAGTTTTGGCATATTTACAAATTTGTGAATTGATGGCTACAGTAGTTGGTTGGCGGTTTTATTACTGGAATTGAAGAGCCCGGTTGTAATACGTGGCAACGTTTCGTATGTAACGAAAGTTGGTCATATTAAGTTGTCAGAGACCTTTTTCTGATATTAAATGAAAGAAATATGTCCAAAAAAAAAGGAACTGACCAAATGAAACGGGTTCTGATTTTTAGCTCACCTCGACGAAGTCGAGATGAGCTTATGCTATACCCCCGGCGTCGGCGTCGGCGTCGGTGTCGGCGTCGGCGTCCCAGGTTAAAGTTTTAGGAGCAAGTCCCATTCCCAAGTAACTATAAGCCCTACCTGGACCAAACTTGCATGGATGATGCATCTAGGGATGGACACTACCACACTTGCTTCGGATGCTGGATCTGACCTAGATTTTCCAGATGAGTGACCAGGTTAAAGTTTTAGGAGCAGGTCCATTCCCAAGTAACTATAAGCCCTACCTTGACCAAACTTGCATGGATGATGCATCTAGGGATGGACACTACCACACTTGCTTCGGATGCTGGATCTGATGTAGATTTTCCAGATGAGTGACCAGGTTAAAGTTTTAGGAGCAGGTCCATTCCCAAGTAACTATAAGCCCTACCTGGACCAAACTTGCATGGATGATGCATCTAGGGATGGACACTACCACACTTGCTTCGGATGCTGGATCTGACCTAGATTTTCCAGATGAGTGACCAGGTTAAGGTTTTAGGAGCAGGTCCATTCCCAAGTAACTATAAGCCCTACCTTGACCAAACTTGCATGGATGATGCATCTAGGGATGGACACTACCACACTTGCTTCGGATGCTGGATCTGACCTAGATTTTCCAGATGAGTGACCAGGTTAAAGTTTTAGGAGCAGGTCCATTCCCAAGTAACTATAAGCCCCACCTGGACCAAACTTGCATGGATGATGCATCTAGGGATGGACACTACCACACTTGCTTCGGATGCTGGATCTGACCTAGATTTTCCGGATGAGTGACCAGGTTAAAGTTTTAGGAGCAGGTCCATTCCAAAGTAACTATAAGCCCTACCTTGACCAAACTTGCATGGATGATGCATCTAGGGATGGACATGGCCACACTTACTTCGGATGCTGGATCTGATGTAGATTTTTAGATGTGTACCAGGTTAAAGTTTTAGGAGCAGGTCCATTCCCAAGTAACTATAAGCCCTACCCGGACCAAACTTGCATGGATGATGCATCTAGGGATGGACACTACCACACTTGCTTCGGATGCTGGATCTGACCTAGATTTTCTGGATGAGTGACCAGGTTAAAGTTTTAGGAGCAGGTCCATTCCAAAGTAACTATAAGCCCTACCTTGACCAAACTTGCATGGATGATGCATCTAGGGATGGACATGGCCACACTTACTTCGGATGCTGGATCTGATGTAGATTTTTAGATGTGTACCAGGTTAAGGTTTTAGGAGCAGGTCCATTCCCAAGTAACTATAAGCCCTACCCGGACCAAACTTGCGTGGATGATGCATCTAGGGATGGACACTACCACACTTGCTTCGGATGCTGGATCTGACCTAGATTTTCTGGATGAGTGACCAGGTTAAAGTTTTAGGAGCAGGTCCATTCCAAAGTAACTATAAGCCCTACCTGGACCAAACTTTCATGGATGATGCATCTAGGGATGTACACTAACCAACCTGCTTCGAATGCTGGATCTGACCTAGATTTTCCACATGAGTGAATTTTAGCCATATTTTAACCAAATTAGCATGGATGATGTATCTAGGGATGGATACTTCCAGACTTGCCTTGGATTCTGAATCTGACGTACATTTTCCAGATGAGTGACCAGGGTAATTTTTTGGAGTAGCTATATAATATTATGGCCTGTTATGATTAAACTTGCATAGATGGTGCATCTTAGGATGAAAACTTCCAGATTTGCTTTGGATGTTGGAACTGACCAAAATTTTCTTGATTACTAAACAGGTCAAAAGTTTTTTGAGCAGATCTATAATTAAATCAAACTTGCATGGATATTGATCTTGGGATGTACCCTAACTAGAAAAAAATATGATGTGAAATTTGCCTTACATGTAGATAACATTCGTCGAGGTGAGCTTCGTAATCTTTGATTACCTATGTTTGATTATAGACAGGAAACGGCGAAAATCACTGTCGTTTAACTTCATTGCTTCGTTGTGTTTTGTGTTGTTTAGACACTGAAGATCTCAAAATCTTTTTCCAGGAATGCTTTGCTGGAAATAAATCAAAAGTGAGCCAGGTTTGTAGGTATTCAGTAAGTTTATAAGGAGATAAAACAGTGATATAAGGAGATAAAACAGTGATGACATCAGGAATGAATCCATGTTGTGGATTCCATGTCCTCCAAGAATGAATATAAACGTATACAATGACAAAGACCTTTGGGAGATAACGATGTCATTGCACATTTCGGGAGGAAGTTGAACATTTAAAAATTTATTGGAAACATTACCCAACATCAGTTACATAAATCAAATGTCGGCGACAAATGCAAGCGACATGCATGAAAATATCCAGTAATCAGCAGATATCTAGATTCTGTTCGGGAGGACTTCCTATGAGTTTACAAACGATGATCCATGTGACAAAGTCGCCCGAGAAACAGCAGCATACGGATGTTGATTTCAGTGATAGGTAGGACATTGAAAAAAAACTTTCACAGATATCAGATCTTGTCTTTGTATGGAGATTCAGAGCGTTTTTTTTTTACATATAAAATGTTTGAAAACATTCAGGCGTTGGTAATCAGTTGTAGAAAGGTTGTTCCAAAGCTCACAACCGTAGAGGATAGATTACTGTTTGCTGTACAACTGACTTATCAAATCTCATTTCAAAATATTTTATTTTAAATATGCACTTTTGCTTAAGATGATTGTCATGCGTGTCAGAAAACGTTAAGTGCTTACGGAGAATTTTTCTCTTATCAATTTGCAAGTCGTTTATCATAATATATATCAAGTATATGATTGTCAAATAAAACATTACAGCTGTATCAATTGATCAGCAATTAACATTCATATTTCACCGTGTTTATTTCAACTCCATCAAGGATGTTTTTAAATTCTCTGTTTGCTATAGATACTTGTACACTGTTATTTTGTTACTAAACTTCTCTCCGACATAAAGGTTGTGTTTGTTGTCCAAACACAGGGCCGTTGGATTGTATAATCCATGTTCTCTTGTCAGCAGGAGACGGAGGAACTTACCATCCTGATCCAGGAGATGGACACTGGGAACTAAAATATCAGAGACCAATACCTGTCCTAAGATATCAGTACAGATTCCACGAGGCCCGAAAGGAGACGGACGCTCATATTGATACAGAAAATTAGAGAAACCCTTAGAATTATAGTCACACCAAGTCTGCTGACCTGTATACTTAAGCCGATATTGTCCTGATTTATCAAATACCATCACTGCTTCTTCCAGGAGTTCAGAGACCCAGATGTCTCCGTTCTTATTTTCTGTTATGTACATCGGATAATAAATCTGGAATGTCCTGTTCATCCTAACGTCCGCACTCAGCTTCCCCCACTTGTCATACCTCATCAATCCATAATGACACCCCAGCAGAATATCGCCGTTGATTCGGGAGGAGTGAACACAGTATAATTCCCCTATGTCTGGCTTGATGAGTGTAGTGATGATCCCGTCTGCAGTCATCTTTTGCACTTTAGTGTGATCAATAAACAACAGATCCCCGTCCTCTGTGACAGTGTGAACTCCTCCTTCACTGCAAAATGTAGCTTTTTTTCTCTTCTGTTCACAACCGGAGGAGTCCACCTGTAGAAGAAGTCTGTCATCATTGACCCAGAATCTGTCTGAGGGCATACAGGAGATATGGAAAAGTCCATTAACTCTGGATATGATAAAACTAGAAGTGATTACAAGGGCAGAATTCAAATGCGGAGAAACTGAAACATCAGTTTCCTGAACATACTTATACACCATTATTGTGTTACTAAACATCTGTCCCATATAGAGCTTGTGTTTGTCGTCCACACAAAGAGCAAGGGGACTGTATAATCCCTGTTTTTCAGTGAGAAGGAGACCAAGGAATTGACTTTTCTGATCCAGTAGATGGACACTTTGATTGCCGCAGGCATTATCACACACTAGGATCTGCCCGAGGACATCAGCGCAGATACCACGGGGACAAAAGTCATACTGATTCTGCTGACCCCTGTATTTAAAGCGTTGTTTTCCTGATTTATCCATTGCCACCACTACTCTCATATGCCAGTTAGAAAACCAGATGTCCCCATTTTTGTTTTCTGTGATGTACTTTGGATAATAACAAGTCTCATTTCTCCAGATCTTTGCCCGCCGTCCCATCCTGTCGAACCTCCTCACTTCATTAAAACAACCCAACAGTATGTCTCCGTTGAGGCGGGAGGAGTGGATACAGAATAAGCTTTCCCATGGTTGATGGATGAGTGTAGTGATGGTGCCGTCTGACGTCATCTTCTGCACTTTATTGTCATCTATAAATAGCAGGTCCCCTTCCTCTGTTACAGAATGAATTCCTGCGTATGCCAACTTGCCAATTTCAATTTTCTTTTTCTGTATTTTGTGTCCGGAGGTGTCAACCAGTAGGAGATGTTCGCTATCGCTGACCCATAGCCTGTCTGACGTCACACAGGAGATATGCCAAATAGCGTGATTTCCGGGTACAGTTATACTGGACGTTGAGACAATGGTTGGACAAAAGTCCTGGGAAAATGACATATCTATAAGAATGAAAATGTTCAAAATGTAGCAATAATATTTATTTGACAATAGATTGAGAAAGAGGAGATTCAGTTAAGACAATAATCGCATCCCAAGTCTATTGGCCAAATTCTCCACTTTTTTTAGCTCACATGAACCAAACAAACAAGAGCGTTTTTTTTGGATCGAGGTTTGTCCGTCGTCCTTCAGTCCGTCTGATCGTCTCTTTCTTTAAATTTTAGTTATAATACTGTCTCCTAAATCCTGTCGTCCTATGCAATAATGCCATAGAGGGTTTTTCTTGAATTTAATAGGGAAACATTTATTGCTGATTCATCAAATCACCTTGTTTCATAAGGATTTTTTTCGATTTTATTTGAACTGGGAATAATAAAACGCCAGTGAACTTATTTCTTAATCCGCTTTTCATAGTGAATATAGTAAATATCTTTGTTTATAAGGCTCAATGTTTAAATTTTATTTCAGAGGATTTTATTCAACAAGTGGTAATCCAACTTATAGTTGGATATAGTTATAGAGGTCCGTGTTTGCTCTGCTCTATTCTGTATTGTTTAATGGACTTTTGAGCTTGAATATTGTTAGTTATCTCCATATATTTCATTACCACAAACATTAGTTATAGCTGACTTCTAACATTGTTCCATAAACATAAGCATTTGCTATCACTGTTATAAAGGACACATATCTATTTGTTATGCCTGTTGTCACACACGCTTTTCCATCGTAAACTTTCCTTATTTATGTAGTAATATTCCACTATCACCTGCTTATGGTATTTGTATCTCCCACAGTATTTGCTGCTCAAGAGCATGCTCATATTATAAACCGAGGCAGGCTAATTACAGATAAGTTGATTTTATAAGAATTTCAACTGCCTCATTTAAAGTCAGCATTTGGTTGATTCTATTGTCATTATTATGACTTTGTTAGCAAACGTAACTTATTATTACGTTGTATTTGGCCTAATTTGTTTCATCCCAATTATTAGGCTTTTGATTTTTACACTAAATTTGACTCGGGATGATTCGTCTACTTGATCAATGCATAGGGCTCACGGCGGAGATGGCCGGTCAGCAGAAAATGTTTACTCGTCTTATGCACCTGATCCCACCTCTGGAATTTTTAAGGGTCTATGTTTATGCCCTGTTCACAGATTTGCATTATTTATAGAATTTTTAAGACCAATAACTGTTCGTTATCTTCACCTTTTTCATTTTTAAGTTTTAAATTTCTAGTAAAGGTGGGATTCTTCTCATATCTATTATATTTAAAATGAATGAAATTTTCACAGGTTTAAGAAGACGATATCACTTAGTGATGGTTTTAATTAGGAAAAAATGACCATTTTTACTTTAGAACGAAGGTTAGGTCAAGGCTATTGTCTTTTTAGGATTAAATGTTTTTTTTTGGAATAGCACATTGATATAAATGATTTAACTATAATTGATTTTTGGCTAACGTAAATTTCCTAGACTAGTTTTATAGGAAATAGTTAAATTTATTGCTTCTTAGATTTTTTTTTTTATTTTCACATATGGTGAATTAACCATATAGAGATACAAATGATGCAAAAACAAAAAGGTTTGAACATTCAATAAGAAAACTTTTTTTCTGATTATTTCCTGAAATCTGTTTTATATTGGAAGCTTTCTAGAAGTTTCGTCTTTACAGCAGTTTATATTTTTGTAAGGAGTAAAGATAAGAGCTTGGAAGAGCATTTGCTTGACCCGGCAATATATGTTTGTTTGCAGAGATTTTTATAAAGATTATAGGTCGGATAGGAAGAACTCACCTTGGTTGACTGAAATGTTAGAAGTATTAAACACTGACATATGATTTTGAAGAATTTCATCTTTGGAAAGAACTATGAGTATATGTAGGATTTCCAGGCGTAAAATTAAAACCAAATTCTTTCAAAATACAGTTATAACAATGAGCCTTAAAAACAAAGACGATATTGTTACAAGCCTTGTTTGCTGGAACCATACCATATTGCTTCTTTCTAATTCTTTTGATCACCTCCGATTTAGTGATAACGAAAGGATAGACGGATAGCATTTTGTCTTTTAATATTCTAATACGATTTTTTAATATATTACTAAAACACTTAATCCATTCTGAAAAAGTGTTCATGTCTTGTTTTTCATACTTAGTCCAACGTTTGGCATAATCTTCGACAGAATTCAAAATAGAAATGAAATTCTGTCGCCAATCGAAAAATCCGGGCTCACTGTATTAAGGACCTTTTATGCTGTACCCTTTCAATTGTATCACCAGTAATGACGTGTCCAGTGGAACTGTTGTTGAAAAAAGAGGAAAAGCAAGAACACATAAGAGGATTTTGCTTTGGATGTTCAATATCTAGGCAGTGTAGGCTTTGTTTATGATTGAAAAGTTTGGAAGCAATAGTGTGGGCATATATATAGGAAATGTAGACTTCAACTTAAAATACTGTGGATTCTTAATCTATTCTTTTGTTGGAAACTTTAAGTTTATGGAACCAACTCGTAGTGTCAGAACTACATTCCGATACATTGTGGTGGCTCAAAGAGCCTATGCTGGGCAATATTAATATTCACAAAAACTACTTTGTATTCTGCAGTTGAAGAATCAAAGTATGGATTTGCTTTATCTTCTTCAAAATATCCATTGAAATATTTCAAGGAAACCGAGTAAAGTTAAGTGTCAATGTGATGAAAACCTAACTGTTTATTGACGTAAGGCAAAAGCAAATCAAACGAAAGCAACAAAAATCGTTATAGGGTGTGACCGGTCGGCAGGGGATGCTCACTCCTTCATGGTACCTGATAACACCTGTGTTTGTTCTGCTCCCGGTTTGAGTTGTTTTAGTTGACTTTGAGCTTGAATACTGTTCGTTATCTCCATTTTTCATCATAAAAGTTTAACCGTCCCTTTTAAATGTCCTTGAGATAATTTTAGGGCGCATCAAAATGAGAAGTAAACATAAAGATATGCATAAATTGCATTAGAATTGAAATAACTATCTTTTCATTTGTTATTTGCGACCTTTTACGGTCATCAATAACAAAGGAGAAATAAATACTCTCTAATTATCTTCCCTTAGAAAGATGACTTTTCCCTTCATTTGAATTAACTTGAATCCAAGCGACAGTGCTTGGCAGAGGACAAAATTAAAAATAAGCCAGCTTAAGTCTTAATTATGACATAGTTTAAAATGATTGATTATTGTTATTACGCATATCTGAATTCAATAATTTACTGGTTTAATTTTTTCTTTTCTTCAAATTTATTCATACCTTTGGTTGACTGCAGTTTCCATGTCTTTCTTGCCCTATTAATATCTTCTCTTTCTATACATGTAGGTTTCGATATTTGAAAAACATCTTGTTTGGTTACAAAAGGAAAGATTTTGTCAAAGTACCCTGTATCGAAGTTAGAACTAGATGCCATCTCTGGTACAGCTAATTCTTGTTGACTTTCTAAAGAAAATCAAATTCAAAAATAATGTTTAACAAAAGCATTGTGTAAGATTTTTTTTCTATTGAAATATCATGTAAAAATGATCAGATATTGAATAACTGTTTTATGCTAAAACGGAAAACTTTCCTGCTAAACTGCTAGTCTAAACGTTTAAATTCTCTTTCAGAAGAATAAGTATTAATATTTGTATTTAGTCATCCAATCACTGGTTTCAATGGTTTTAAATGTATGTTTTATAAGACTTTAGTCTTTATTTAAAGAGATTGGAGCTATATCTGAGTGAGTGCATTATTACTTACAAAAAGCTTATGTAGCCTGATATAAAATCATTTTCTAAAAAAAAAAACCCAGCCGTATACAAAACAGAAAAAAGAAAATAAGATGTGGTTGTGAAACGCTGCTGCCCCCGTATGGCAGCTTGTTGCGAAGGTTAAAGTTTCTCAAATGCAAGTCAAAATTCAGGACAAAAGATAAAAAATGTTGGTACCCAAAGAAAGGTCTTGTCTCGAGGAATATACCTGTGAAATTTGAAACCCTGTTCAAAAGTTATGGCGAAGGTTAAAGTTTTTTAAAAGTAAGTAAAACGTCAAGGTCAAGGTCAAAGTTGTTGGTATTTAAAGGAAGGACTTGTCACAAGGATTACATTTGTGAAGCATGAAAGCCCTAGCTCCAACCGTTCAAAAGTTGTGGCCAAGGTTAAAGTTTTTCAAAAGTAGGTCAAACTCCTAGGTCAAGGTCAAAGGGTCAAAGTGGTTGGTATCCAGAGAAAGGTCTTTTCACAAGGAATACACATGTGAAGTTTGAAACCCCAAGCACCAACTGTTCAAAAGTTATGGCCAAGGTTAAAGTTTTTTAAAAGTAGGTCAAACTTCAAGGTCAAGGTAAAAAGGTCAAAGTGGTTTGTATCCAAAGGATGTACTTGTCACAAAGAATACGCATGTGAAGATTGAAACCCCAAGCCCCATTTGTTCAGAAGTTATGGCCAAGGTTAAAGTCTGATAAAATTTTGCAAGAGTGGGTCAAACTCCAAGGTCAAGGTCAAAAGGTCAAATATGATGGTACCCAAAGAAATTCTTGTCACAAGGAATACACAAGTGAAATATGAAAGTCATAGTTCCAACCAATCAAAAGTTATGGGTAATGTTAAAGTTGACAATAGACAGACAAACAGACAGACAGACAGGACAAAAACAATATACCCCCGGGATATTTCGATCCCGGGGCATAAAAATATATAACTAAGGGACGACCATTTGATTCTTGATCATGGACATATAATTTATTTTCTTTTTCACTGAAAAAAAAATTGTCAAGTCAAAACTCACAATTCTATTTCGGGGGAAGGGGGGGGGGGGGGTTAAGTAGAACTAATCAATGACACATTACTAGAATTTATTTCATGCCAGTCGAGGATAAATTATTTATTTTCAATTTCAAGATAGGAGCTTGGTAGAGAATAAGCTGGACTCGGTAATGTATCTTTATTCGTAAGGATTTTATGACGTTTGGGAATCCAGTACAGGTAGGATAGTATTTGATCTACCTCACCTTGGTTGACTGGAATGTCAAAAGTATTAAATACTGAAATTTCATTTTGAAGATTTCGAATTTAATCTTCGACAAAATTTGTAAAAGAAATGAAAGGATCATTCTGCAGCCTACACTGTCTTCAAAGTTTTAGGTAATTTTTCCCCATTAAGCTATATGCATTAGTAGGCTAATGATCCAATTTAATGATTAATGTTGATTGGTTAATGATGCTGTTGTATTTGTTATGAAATGGGGTCACAAAAATGTACTATAAGTCCATATGAGCATTAAGGTAATGGGAAAACTCAAAAGAGTGACGGTGTATTAGGCAACTCCTACCAATGTCTTAACCACCTTTTAACAACACCAAAATTTGCATGTACACTTCATGTAAACATAAGAAGTGACAACCAGATTACAGATACCAACTCGGCTAAAGGTGGTTATGACATGTAAATAAAAACTTTTCGCTTTTATTTTTACGAAGAAAAAAAAGTTCATTGGATTTGGGGTAAAACAGAACAAACAGCTTTTGATTCCCTAATAGAAAACCTTACGTCACCCCCTATTTTAGCCTATGCAGACTTTTCCCAACCTTTTATTATCAATGTTGATGCTAGTAGGGAAGGTCATGGTACTGTTTTACATCAGAATCAAGAAGAGTTAGACAGGGTTATTGCTTATGTCAGTACCGTATGTGCTTCTTTTATTTTATTGTTGGTTCATGCCTGTAATGCAACCAAACAAGAGACAACTGGTTTTTCACCACATTACTTAATGTTTGGTAGCCACCCAAAATTGGCAGTTTATGCATTTTTGAATTAAGAACTTTCTGAAAAATCTGATGTCAATCATCAAACTTATGTTAACAATTTGATTGATTGATTGTATGTTCTTTAACGTCCCATTCGAGAAATTTTCACCCATATAGAGACCTCGCCGTATGTCGTGAAGGACTTCGAACTTAGACCTATACTTGGCACTCAGGGCCATTGAGCAGTGAGGGTTCTTTATCGTGCCAACGCCTATCGAGACACGGGACCTCGGTTTTTAAGGTCTCATCCGAAAGACCCGTGACTTTCACTTCTAGTGCCGGGCGCTTGGCAAAGGAAAAGTACTACATATGCTTACGTCTTAGGTTTGACGCGGCGCGGCGAACGAGAATCGAACCCGGGCCTCCTGATCACGAAGCGAGCGCCGTATCACTAGGCTACCGTGACTGGTTTGTTGACAAATTGAAAATTGAAAAGAAGTTTAAATTTTACTTATAATGTGGAAAGATCAAGTGTTCAAAAAATACATTAAGACACAAAGAGAACTATAACAGAGGCCTATGGTCCACATCGCTCACCTGAGCACATTGGTTAGGAAGAATCAGAAATGAGTTCAGTATTGTAAAATGTTTGCCGGGGTGGGGTGGGGGGGGGGGCAAATTAAAATTTACACTACCTCAGAATGCTTCAATATTACTAATCATGGCTTTGTTGTTCTTGAGCAATAGAATTTTAAAGATTCTTCTGTGTATTCTGTGTAAAACACTAATCGCTCATTGTGGCCAAACCCTGTGCACTCTAATTTGAACAAATTTGAATCTACCGGAGGACGCTTCGTTAATAATACGACTAATCGTGGCTTTGCTGTACTTGAGCAGATTTTTTTCAAGATGATTCCGATATATTCTTATGCAAAACTGAGGGGTCATAATTTGAACCAACTTGATTCTATAACACCTAAGTTTGCTACTGTATAAAAATGACTATAATGGCTTACTTGTTCTTAGGAAGATTTTCAAAGATATTTCTTATGTAATGTGTATGACCAGGTACCTACAAGGGATGTATAGGTTTTCCTTCTATGCTGTGTGAGTTATAGATTGGAATGATTTAAGAAATAAAGTCTGCGTTTTCGTGAATGTTGCAGAATAACCTCCGAGGTCGAGAAATGTTGTTTGAAATATAAAAGCCGGGGCGTTAGCCGAGGCTTTTATATTTCAATCAATATTTGAGACCGAGGAGGTTATCCTGCATCATTCAAGACAACAAGGACTTTATTTCTATTCTACTAACAGCTCTAAAATACGACTGATCGTTTCTTCTATAGAGAAACGAATTAGGTCACCATGTCGCGATTTCGTTGTTTCATTTTCCATTTAACACCAGAGGGTCAGTTTGGTTGATTACTTGCATAAAATGCAGACGATATGAGCTTTTGTTGGGTCAAATATATCCTTTAATTATTTATAAATTTGTTTGTAACATATACTGGTTAATTTTTAAGAATGAAAAAAAAAAACAAAATCAGTTTTCTGTTTCATTGCTTTATCAGTAAAATCACGGAGTGTAAATGTTGTGGGGAGGTCCGTGGAACTGCCCAACTTAGCTATAAAACCTGACATTATTTACAGCTGTTTTAGGCAATACACACTTTTTAGACTGCGGAAGACGACACAACGATATGGTACAAATAAGTATTAGATTCTACAGTGAAATATTGATTTCAACTGTACAGGTTTGGGTTTAATATGTACTTCTGATTTGATATTTTTTGATGACGTTCATGATTTATTGGAGAATGATGTCCGCGGAATTTCTTTGATCTCGGGAATGTGTAGTAGAATAATGGGTAAGGTACTACTTGCACGTGTTTCTCCCCTAGGTTCCTACTTATAGATAAGAAGAATGTGTCTATCTTCTCAGATTTACTTCACCAAGAACATAACATCAATATCATTATTTAGGACTTGCCTCTAGTGCTTATAACTTTTATACTTTTATTTTGCTCTTTCCCTTAACTTCTTTATTCCTGATTCAACATCCAACTCCTTCAGCTAGCTTCTGAATGCCTGACTTTCCCAAATCTTTTCCCTATATATACCCTTTGGCTATTTCATTCCAAGGGTTGTCGGGTCATTCCACAATTTGAAGTCTTCAATACGTTTTACACAAATGCCCCTTACCCATTACACCTATACATTCCTATGTTAAACTTTGACCCACTGTTGTGGTCCCTTCCTATTCCCGGGGTCTTGACTTGAACAAACTTGAATCTACACCACCTATATATTTATATGACTAATAATGGCCCAACTGTTCTTGAGAAGATTTATAATGAAACTTTCAAATAAGTTTCATCTTTTCTTGCCCAATCGTTCTTGAGAAGGTTTTTTAAATGATGCTTCCAAATTTTCCCGAATTTTTAATTATATCCCCCTTGAAAGATGGCGCGACACTTCCAGTGAAGAAACAAATACCCTTTACCCAAGAATGCTTTGTGGCAAATTTGGTTGAAATTGGCCCAGTGGTTCTTCACAAGAAGTCGAAAATGAGAAAAGTTTACAGACGACAGACGAAAGATGGACGCCGGACACTCTTTGATCAGAAAAGCTCACTTGAGCCTTCGGCTCAAGTGAGCTAATAATAGAGTCCGTTTCTCAAAGTTAGAGATCGGGAACAAGGTTCTAATTCGACTTTTAGCAAAGATTTAAAAATGCAAGTTAACTGATAAATGGGAAAGAGATCCATCTGTAGTATTAGACATTCCCAATAGTGACATTACTGTTGATAAGGTGCAGAGGTCATCTGGCAAAGGATAGTAAGATTACTTCAATTCAAAGAAACTTACTGTTATCTTTTATGTTCTTGTCAGATGATGATTGTCTTTCAGATAATACGATCAAGAAAAGTAGGAAAAGTATTTAAGCAAACATGTTGTGTCTACACAAAGTGGAACAGATTCTGATCAAGTGATTTTAAATTGGAAGTTTTCCTGGTTACAACACCAACGAATTTAATTAAATGTAAAAATATTCATAACACTTCACGTTTTATCCATAATATTCATCTCAATAGTTCAGATGAACAGATGAGATCAGGTTCTTTGAAATTTAATACATTTGATATTTCAGATTTTAGTAGACCAATGTCAAGATTATTCTTCCGTTGACCCTACATATCGATTTCAGGACAATGGTTCTTCTTTTAATTCAATATCAAGTACAAATTTATCCGATATGCGAAATCTAATATTCAACCAAGTGTTAGGCATTAAATTATAGAGTTCAAAATCTTCTTTATAGATATGCAGATTGGGTGGTAGGAGAGGCTCAAGTCTGGTATGTGTAGGAGTAGAATGTCACAGGAATATGATATGATTTCAGATAGTAGCTTTCAGATTGTTAGTTGTATATATTTTAATGACTTTAATATCCATAGTGGATAGTTTTAGGAATTATGTGATCTGTCGTTGGTCCAATTAGTATTATTTAGATTTAATGATGTAACATTTTCAGCTAAGCCATACATGAATCAAGTTTTATGACAGTAATACATAGATAAATTGATCGAATAATTTTGTATTTCAGCTTGTGGTTATACAGAATGCTTTCTGCTACAAAGCAGAAGATGATGCAAAACATCAATCATACATGTATGTATGTTTATATCTTTACATAATATCCAAGAGTAGAGAAGAAGATTATATAATCAATAGATTCTCGCATTAACATCGGAACCACTGACACAGGGGTCATGAAGTTTTTTTTTATTTTGGAAGAGGCACCCTTGCTCATCTTAACTATGTACTGAGATAGTTTGTTCAATACCCAGGAGCAGAGAAGACGATTAAAAATAATCTATGTCACTATATAATCAATAGAGCCCCGCCCTAACACCAGAACCCCTAATGAGGGGCCATGAAATTTACAATCTTGGAAGAACAGCCCTTGCTTTCAAAGAAATAATGCACTTTCAGTATATGATCTATATAGTCCTAACCTAACACCAGATCCCCTGACCATGGGACCATGAATTTTACAATTCTGGTAGAGAGCTCAATGCTTATTACAATCATGCTAACAGTTTGACTGCTTGCTGTGCAGGACTAAAGAAGATTTTTAAAGATTGCATTAATTTGGTATTTTAGCTCAACCCCTCAGACCCCAGCTTAAGTCTTAATTATGGCATAGATTAAAATGATTGATTATTGTAATTAAGCATATCTGAATTCAATAATTTACTGGTTTAATTTTTTCTTTTCTTCACATTTATTCATACCTTTGGTTGACTGCAGTTTCCATGTCTTTCTTGTCCTATAAATATCTTCTCTTTCTATACATGTAGGATTCGATATTTGAAAAACATCTTGTTTACTTCCAAGAGGAAAGAATTGTTCAAAGTACCCTGTATCGAAGTTAGAACTAGATGCCGTCTCTGGTACATCTAATTCTTGTTGACTTTCTAAAGAAAATCAAATTCAAAAATGATGTTTAACAAAAGCATTGTGTAAGATTTTTTTTTCTATTGAAATATCATGTAAAAATGATCAGATATTGAATAACTGTCTTATATTAAAACGGAAAACTTTCCTGCTGAACTGCTAGTCTAAACGTTTCAATTCTTTTTCAGAAGAATAAGTATTAATATTTGTATTTAGTCATACAATCACTGGTTTCATTAGTTTTAATTGTGTGTCTTATAAGGCTTTAATCTACAGTGTATATATGAAGAAATTGGTGCTATATCTGAGCGAGTGCATTATTATTGACAAAAACTTGTGCAGCCTAGTATAAATTCACTTTCCTCCAAAATCAGCAGTATCAAAAAAAAAAAGAAAGAAAAAGAAAAAATATATAACTAAGGGACGACTATTTGGTTCTTGATCAAGGACAGATTATTTATTTTCCTCTTCACTGAAAAAAATTTTGACAAGCCAAAAAAGGGAAAACCGCCGCCCAAACTCCAAACATCTATTTTGGGGGAGGCGGGGTGGGGATTTAAGTAAAACTAATCAAGAACAAATTATTTATTTCATGCCAATCGAGGACAAATTTTCAATTTCTTCGAGGACAGATTATTTATTTCAAAAATCTTCCAGCCCCTATTTCAAAATCAAATGGTCGTCCCATAAGAATACCTGATTTCTTCTTTAGATATTTGTAGACTATACTGAAAGGATGTGAAATCCAATGCAAGAAGGTCTGAAAAAGTGAAGGATCTTCACCTAAAATTGAAATAATATATTTAAAAAAGATAGCAGATGATGTGTGTTATACAACCTTACTGACCCAACCTTCTGTCTAAATTAGATTAGTTATGAAATTAAATCCCCCTTGCAACATCATTGCTCAGAGTCTCTTAGAACAAGCAACCTAAAATTTTAAGCGACTCTTGTTATATCGACGAACATTTTATCATTTAACATTGTCATTTGCAAAATTATTTAGTTAAAAAAACATTCTGAGTTTAGATATAAATACTCTGAAGTTGATATTTAAACGATGCTTGAGTTTTTACTGACAATATCTCTGTAGTGTTTGGAGATCAGGTCTTCCAAAACATCAACTGTCGGAATTACTTATTTTTGTCTTCATTTAATTTAATTTACCTGAGAAGAAGAAAACACTTGCTGTAGTCTTCAACTCGACTTTTAGATATATCGACGATATATTATCAATTAACAATAGTTACTTCCTTTCATATGTCGACACGATAATTCACAGTAAACATGGAATTGACAGTCATTCTACGATAAATGGACCAATTCAGAGTATAAAACATGAAAAAAAAATAATTGTTTCAAATAGCAAAATGAACATCATAATTCTCTAAATGACGTATCAGTGAACTTGAAACACAAAAAATTGTCCACAAATCTGGTATCGTTAACTTCGTACAACAATTTCAAGATACCATTGATTTTAATGTAATGTTATGGAAGTTAATGCTTGATCAAGCCTTATTATGTTTTTTAAAAAAGCTGACTTTGACCAATTTTTCGTTTCTGGTTTTCAGTAAAGAACGCTAAAGTATGATTCATAAAGTCTCGCATGAATCCGAATTTAAATTAAATTTTCGGGAAAGATATCGTTACAGAAGTTAAGTCCCAGCAGAAAAGGTTAAAATTCTCTTCAATAGTTAAAATCAGAGTTTGTTTTAGGATACTAGCATTAAACAAAAGTATGAAGCATTTCGTTCCCAAAATAATAACAATTTTTATACCTTTAATGCAAAAACTTTCCTGAATTACCGTTACGGATGTTAAATTTTTAAGAGAGAGACAACTGTTTTTGTCTAATTCATTTTGTATGTCGAAATTGTAATCGTCTAAAATAGCTGACTCGCAACTAGAATCGATGATATAAGGTTCCTTGGTCACTTTTTTTGCGAGAAGTGATTTCTTTTTATATAGGATAAAAGACATTTTTAAACATTCATTGCAATCTGTTCGGAACGATTTTACGGCTGAAAATTTCATCTTGAAATTTGTAAATAAATGAAGCGACATTAAGATTTGCAGTGGAATACTTTTTTCAACATTACATTATGTTCATATCAAAACTTTAACTGCATATATATCGGTGAATATTTACAAAACCATGTGTGTATGTTAAGTCTTAGAGTTGAAATCGACCTTTAAATTTGTAGTTAAGATATTACAACGGTAAATTTGTAAGCGACACAAAGAATTCTTCATTGGTCATGTTTTTGTAGAATGACTGTTAAAGATACCACAGAGCCTGAGACATCTCTTACACCTTTTGGTTATTTTACTTGAAAAAAAAGTTACTGGTAATCTAACAACAAAACTTTATGATGAAGACGACGACTTCACCTTTTCTATCATCAACTTCTCTTATGTAGCAATATTCCCTTATCACCTGCATATGGCGTTTATGTCTCCCAGTTGATTCGATACTCAAGAGTTTGCTCTACATGCCAACAATTTCTAAAACGAAGTAAGCTATTGACTAAGAAGTTGTTGAAATAAAAATATCAAAAGTCTCTTTTAACTAATCATTATGCAAGTTTTATAGTCGATATATATATTTTTATCATTATAATGACCCTGTCAGCAAATACAATCTATTTTTTAGGTCAAATGCTAACTGAAGTTTTTCATATAAATTGTCTGGCCATTATTTAAATACTGATTTTTTTTCCTTTTCCCTATCATGACAATGAGCACACGGCGGGTGTGAACGGTCAACAGGGAATGTTTACTCCTTCATGGCACCTGATCCCATCTCATTAGAGGTCCATGTTTGCTCTGCTCCTGATTTGTATTGTTTCAATGGATTTTTGAGCTTGATTATTCTTCATATTTAATTACTTCAATCAATATCGACTCAATATATATCCCATTGAACTTGAAATAAAAGGAGCCTCAGATTCTGTCACATCTGTTTCATATTTGGACAAACGTGATGACTTCAATTTTTCCATGATAAACATCATACGTTTATTCCAATATTCATAGATTTTTTTTCTCTACACAATGCTAAGACATTTTCTCTTTTATATCCTTAGACTTGCTTTCATATCCTTTCATTTTCTGTCATTAAATAAGAGCTAATTTTGGACCTTACAAGAATTCATTGGTAGGTCACTCGTCAGCTATTAGAAAAAAAATTGATCAAAACTGCTAAGTGCCAAAATTATCATTTAGAATTCAATTATAACATATTGTAATTAAATAATGCAGATAATACCAAAGCTATTTTGAAAAAAAAGCTCACAAACCGCAAGGAATAATATAGGTGAAGAACATTGATCAATCTGGAAAAACCTACAAATAAAAGACATCCGTGAACAAGATCCAAAACAGGGATCTCTGGAAATTCCAGAGGTGGGACAAGGTGCCTAGGAGGAGTAAGCATCCCCTGTTTGTCTGAACTTGTTTAGCTTTTTCTTTCTTCTAGTAAAAACTGCTGTGACCAGCTAAAAATACCAAAATGTCTTCTTTTAGGGAACACAGCATTCTATATACTCCACACGGCTATTGCAAGATTTTTCTTCAAATCTGTAAAAACCGGAAGTTTGGAGGACCGGATACGAGAACCAAAGCACTGGATGACTTCTAGGTTGTATAGTAAACATATTACTCTTCTTCATTTGAGAAAAATGGATATAAAGGTCAAGATAATGAACAGTGATCGATCTCAATCATTCTTGTTTTAATAACTGCCCACCATCTTACTACAAACTTTATGTCCGTGCAAATGGTAGTGTGCAAGACCATTTCATAATCTAGTTTTTACACCATGACATCAAAAAATTCGACAGTATTGGGAAAATGGAATATCAGATTGACTCGTGTCGATAACAAAATATTTTATTTATATAGGGCAATATCGAGTAGTACATTAGAATTTTGTCTGGTGTATGCTAGGGATATTAAGATCAGATGATGCAGACGAAAACATGGATGGCAAGATTGGTATATTTATATTGGAGCTAAGTTCGTAACTAATGCAAAAATGAATTCTATGATTTTTAATATTCTACATTTCTGAAAGCATCTTTTGAAATCTACACAACATTCTTTCACTTTAAAGAATATTATTATAAAATTTTGAATTAAAAATAAAAGTCTATTCAGTTAAACTTTTTCGTTTTACTTATAAAACATAACATTAATTGTAATTTTCATGACTGTTAAAAAATGTTGTTGTTTTTTTTTTTGTATCACCTGTCCTTATACAGTTTTCATGTAATATTTTTAGAGCATATCTTACTAAATATACTTTTTTAAAAAGAAAAAAAAAAGGGTGGGGGATTAATACAGTTTTCAACTAATATTCTTGGAGCATATTTTACCCAATATACATCGTAAAAAAAGAAACAAATATATAATGAAGAAGTCAAGGTAAAATTTATATTATTTCTTTTTTTTTTCACCTTCAAATCGCATATTTTTACCAGTTTCTCAGAATTATTATTACTAGCCCAAGTTATTTAAAAAAAAATATTATCAAATTACACCGATATTAAGTAACACAATACACAATACATTCAACCGATCAAAACTAAAATCACAAAAAGCTTGATACAAGAAAATATTTTATTACCTGTTTAGCTTTATAGCGTCCCCAATATGATATTTTATTATTGCAAAAAATAACACAATAACTTACATTAATTTGACCATTAAATGACCATCAAACTGAATCTTACTTGATTTATTTTCCTGATTGTTTTCTTCTTGTCCAAGCCGAAAATTGTTCAAATCTTCATCTTCTTCTTTATTTAAGTTGGAATAATACCTTGAACCTTTAAGAGAGATTTTTAAGTGTAAAGTTTTAAAAGGTTCCAACTCTTTTTTTAAAAATTTAAGCCAGAAATAGACCTTACGTTCAGCAGATGAGAGAAGAGGAATTGAAGAACTCTGATAAACAGGTACATACTCTTGTGCAGTTTCGGACGCTTCTGTGAAAAAAATTGTATTGATAAACTGTCAGCGTAATTCTATACCAATATTAAAAAAATGAGCAGGACAACATGCGTTATTTCAAAGATGCCGTTGGTTCCTAAGAACGATATTCACTTAGGGCCTTGTTAGGCCTTCTGAAAAAATGAAACTGCTTCGTTTTTGTCGACAATGCATTAAATATCATTTAAATACATGGTGACTGTGTATCTGTAAAAAAAAAAAAATACGTAATTCTCTGGCCAATGTACTTTGATGTTTGAATTGCGTCACTTTTCCAATATCGTAAAGATTTATACAAAAGCTTCCAAACTTGTTGGCTATTTTAGTGAATTTTATATGATCGCAACATCTCATCAAAAATGTGCGATTATACAATAATAGAACCCTTTCTGAAGATTACAATTTTTTTTTTTCGGAATGAGGGGTACGCTCATATCTTGAATCTTTGCTGAAAGTACTCAAATAAACCAGTTTGTCTTTAAAATTCAAGAACATTGAAAAATCACAAAGCTTTTGTCCCAATACTTGGGCTCTCAGAGAAAACTTTTATATAGAAAATAAAAGCATTAATTATCTACTTTACATTCATGTTTGAAATTTCACATAGATTGTTAGTCAATAAAATTTTATTTTTACAGGACTATTTCATGCATTATGCATTAAGTGAACCTAGCTCTATATAGGGCGAAGCATCATTTGACCATTTGATCTAATTTAAAGAAAATTTAGAGCCGGTGGAAAAGTAAATTTTCGAGTAAAGAGTTGGTTTGTACGCAGCTAGGTTTAGGACTCTCATACTTACATCAGCCTATGCAATCTCTACCCAGAGTTATCGGTCCCGCTTCGCTCCACTAATACCTCTGTCAACGTCTAAAAAGTAGTACGGAAAACGGAGATACGTGGCCTTTATCACAGGAAGATTAACAAGCGTATTACCTTCATGTTTCTGTATATGTGTCAACACTTAAAGTTGTTTGTCTTTAAGAACTAAACCATGTTGATATTTGTCGGCCATGCTATTTTAATTTTCCAGGTTCTCCGTATCTGTATACATTAGTGATGCAATATCCCGCCGAGAAATAATCCCTTATAAGATACGCTGATACAGATACATCTTTTTCTAATTTTCATAAATAAACTTTTCTTAAAAATTCAAAGCTAAAATATATCACTTCTAATTTTTTAATTTATGATGCAATAGGTCAAAGTAAGTTTTGCCAAGAAGCTTGACATTTAGACGTTTACAGAGGTGTTGTAGCGGAGTGTAATACGCCCTCTGGTGAGAGATTGCAGTCTATGGGAAAACGATTATGATGTCACGTTAAAACTTTACAATTGAATCTCGACGAATAAAACCTTAAGTCTTTGCTCTACTCCTAATTTGTATTGTTTTAATGGACTTTTGAGATTGGACTTCATATTTCATTAGATATATGAAAAATGCATTGTCAGTTCACAATATTCATTTTCCTTAATACTTTTGTTCGATATATTCCAAGAAAAAGAATCCTGCCTTGTTCATACTATTAACGTTCTTTTTCTATTGGATCAAAATTCCGCGGATTCATAACATCCGTTAAATCCGTGGAATTACCACTATATCACTTAAATGTACTTCAAGTACACTTGGACAAATTTCCTCTGAAAATTTGTGACCTCATATATAGCGTAAATTAATACCACGCGGGAAAGCGTATTTCTACCGTATTTCTATGTATTATTAGAAAAGGACATTGATGGCTTACAACTAAATAAACTTTGTGATAAACGTGATGACTTCTTTTTTTTCTATCGTTTACGTCCCTTATTAATGTAGTAATAAACCATGATTATTATCATATGGAATTTATGACTGAAATATGTGGAGATAACGAACAGTATTCGAGCTCAAAAGTCCATTAAACATTACAACATAGGAGTAGAGCAAACATGGACCTCTAAGACATCAGAGGTGGGATCAGGTGCCATGGAGGAGTGATCATCCCCTGCCGACCGGTTACACTCGCTGTGTGCTCCTTGTCATGGTCGGGAAATAACGGAAAAATCCGTCGACAATTCAGTGTGTAAATAATGGCCTAACAAATAGTATGAAAAAAGTCAGTCAGCATTTGACTTAATGAAAGATTGTATTTGCTGACAAGGTCATTGTATCGACCATAGAACTTACGAAATGATAACTTTAAAAGAGACTGCTGATCTTCTTGTTTCATCAACTTGTTTGTCAATAATTTACCTCGTTTTAGAAATTGTTCTTTCGTAGAGCATGCTCTTGCGTATTGAATCAACTGAGAGATATATACCCCGTAAGCAGGTGATGAAGGTATATTGGTACATAAATAAGGGAAGTTGACGATTGAAAAGTTGAAGTCATCACGTTTATCATAAAGCTGTTTTTATTAGATTACCATTAACGCCTTTTTCTAATAAAATATCCAAATATGAAACGGATGTGTCAGACTCTGTGGCATCTTTTATCTCAAGCTCACCGGGATATATCAGGTCGACATAAGAATGGAAATAACCATTGTTAATGACAATACGTCGTCAATATATCTAAGTGTCGAGTTGAAGGCCACAGCAAGTGTTTTCTTCTTTTCACGTAAAAGATGTTGACTCTCATTTGATTTGAGAAGAAATTTCATATTCTAAGTAAGAACAATTTCCAAATCAAGTCAGGATACTGACAAAAAAGATGATAATAAAAGGATATCAACAATATCCTTTCAAGTGAACATTTCGCTTTATGGTCGATACAATGACCTTACATGCAAATACAATCTGGCATTAGGTCGAATAATGACACTGACATTTCACACAGATTTTCAGACAAATCGTTATTATGTCACCCCGAACGAAGTCGGGGCAGTTTATTTTCTACGCAAAGGCGTTATTTTTTCTTTGCTTTCTTTAACTGAAAAACGAATTGTTTCAGAAAATATCTGGCATTTTTCTGGGTTAATATTTATACTATGTTTGCACATACAGTTTCTCGGAAATTAATATTAAATAAATGATGTAGAGTTAGGGTATTGATGTTAATCTACATGTTTAAATTCCTCCATACCCCTTCTCCCGCATTACAGTTGTGTAGAATGTTTCACTATACCTAAAATAGAACCTTAGACATAGACCTTAGAAATAGAACCATAGACATTAAATATCAAGTACTTTACTTTATACAGAAAAAGATTCTTTTTCGAAGTTTGATTGCAATGAAAATGTACACAAGGAAAAAAATTAATTAAATGTAATACAGGGAATAATTGCCCCCTTCCTCCGAATACACCCCCCCCCCAAATACACCAAGCCAAGTAATTCCATGAAGCTGGTAAATAAAAAAAGTTAATGAATTGTTTTAACACCCCCCAAACGCACACATAAACACTCCAAACTCACAAAAAAAATCCGTAACAGAAATTTTTCGTTTTGAATCGTTTTTAGTATGATTAAATCTGTAAAATACAATAATTAAAAAGGGCGTCATGATATGAAATAAAAGTATTTGCTTGCACTCGCGAGTGCTAACAGCTGCATATGACAGTCTTTTTTATTGAAATATCAATGCTAGATTTCACGGTTGGGAATTTAAGTAAGAATTTAAATAAAAATAACTGACAGTATGATATTTATGGACCATTTCGAATCGTAACAGGCCTATCTATGTTTTTTAACTAGCCTAAACCAATTATCAACACATATATAGAATAATAAATTTAGATGCAAATCATCTGACTCAAAAACTTAAACTTATTGAGTCAGATGTTGTGCATCTAAACTTATTATTTTATATACGTGTTGATAATTGGCTTAGGCTAGTTAAAATACATAGATGTCAATATATTTTGTTTATCAAACTTTGATTAATATAACCGATGCTTACTATGTCTTAAATATTTGGTATGTTTGCATTGGGGTATTGTTAGTTAAGTTAGTTGGGTTTACATTTATTGATTAATAATGTTTAAAACCTCCATTTTCATCTCTTTTCTGAATCTTATATTGTGTAAGATTTGGATAGGCCTGTTACGATTCGAAATGGTCTTACTGTCAGTTATTTTTATTTAAATTCTTACTTAAATATTTTTGTTGATATGTTTCACTATTTCAACCTCTCAGGAGGAGGCACAATAAATTTGGAAGAATAACCATATTCAAAGACTGTAACTCCTCAGAAATCATTTATTTGTAAACTTAAAAATAAAACTCCAGTCTTTACACTAAAATATTTTAATTTTTCGTGTGCTCATTTTTTTCCATCAATTTCTTTAAAATATCATGTCTTCCATTTTAACATTACGTGGACGTAACGACTCAATGCTTAACATATATTTCTTGTTGATGATCGAATAAATAAAGGATACTCTATGTTTTTTAGTTGGATATGGAATTTATTCTACGAGTGGGACAGTTTATATATATATATATATATATATATATATATATATATATATATATATATATATATATATATATATATATATATATATATATATATATATATAAAGCACTAAAATGACCAAAGACACAAACAATAAAAAAAAATGCTTTACACACACACACACACACACACACACACACACACACACACACATATATATATATATACACGAGATCATAAGCAATCGGAAGAATCCTGTCTCATGAGTAAAATAAATTCCATATCCAACAACAAAATATTGAATTTGCTGTTTATTACATTTTCTTTGATTTTTTCTTTTGCCTCTGCGCTGTCATATACTGTGACGTCAAAGTTGAATGATTGAGACGTAACAACTTGAAAATATTGTAAACATGGACAAAATGTGGCAGTTTTAGTTTCTGCAAGAATGACATCTTTACTCTTTCTTATAACAGGCAATATAATGGTTTCTATTATATGCCTAACTGTGTATCACTCAATATTACTGTTCATGAAATCATGTGACTATGTGATCCGACTTTGCTGATCACAGCAATGTGGTTTTTTTAAAATCAATTTCACCCCTCTCTGAAACTGATGACGCAGTACACAGTATATATGAAGTTTTTCCTTGCGTGTTAAAAAAATTCTTGCAAAAATGTTTTCATAAATGGATAGGGTTGTATGATTCATTAAAAGAGTTTTCTTTTATTGTACTTTGCTTATTATAGTGGGGTATATTGTAAATTTATCATTATTACAGTAACTTGATAACAAGAGCCGAATCACATTTTGTTGACAGGCGCAGGATCATCAGATCAAACTATTGTGTATATATACAATAATATTTACATTTCCAAATATTTTTCCTTAAGATTCTTTGCAAATTAGAAAAAGTTCACGTTCTCATGAACTACCATTGAATGAGTAAGAATATTTCCATTGTTACGTATTGAAGTGAAAAGAGTAGTGCAAAATGTTTTTAAAAATGATGTGGCAAGTTACAGAAAAATAATGTAAATATAAGATATGAATTTAATTTTTGAGAATTGATGAGGTACATGAACTACTACAGTGCAGGAAACTAATTTTGTTACAGCATCGATGCTGATTTGAATGCTTCCTTTGCTTACTGATTTGAATGCTTCCTTTGCTTGCTGATTTAATGCTAGTAATCCTTATCCTGATGCTGTTTTATAATTAGGTCAATGCTACCGGAAGTAGCATCATGCTACCGGAAGTAGATAATGAAAGCAGCATTGCCGTTTAAAGCAATAAAAGTGCTTTTTACAATTATTTGCTCATAATATCTCACTATGTTTCAATAATGTGAATACTTTAAGCAATATTCTTTCTTTCTTTTTTAATTTTTTACTGAATTAAAACTCATTGATTTTCTGATGCTAGTAGGATAATGCTGATTTTATGTAGGTCAATGCTGGTTTTATCCTTTGCTTGCTGATGCTGATCCTGGTAATGCTGTTTTTTAAATGCTGATGCTGATGGTAGCTCGATCCTGATGCTACTAATGCTTATGTTGATGCTGGTTTATGTAACAAAATTAGTTCTCTGCACTGTAACGCGCTTCATGAAATATGCCGGCGTGAAGCGTCGTAGTTCATGTCCTCATGAATTCTCAAAAATTAAACTCACTTCTTTCTTTGCGACCGCGAAGTACACTCGAGTTAACTCATAATGAATTAAAAACCCTAACAATAATGTTAAGTTATAGAAAATGCAACAATTCAGTTTAAAAATCTAATGGATTCGAAACGTACTTCATTGTATAAAATGGCTAAATTACCACTTTACATATCTTTTTTGAAAAGACAAGCTTGTATATATTCTTACCTAACGAATCCAAATGACTCTCCTCTTCATTTCTTTTTAAAAGACCCTTATTATTCTTTTTATCTTCTTTCTCCCCATAGGTTTCCGTTCTTGAACTTTCAAGACCGTCTTCAATATTTCTTAAAAGTTCTAAAATTCTCTTTAAGATTCTATCGAAATCTGATTGTTGAAGAACCACAGTATTTCCACAATAATCCCTGTGAATCTCCATGATCCTATCAATGTTAGCTGCCATTGAGGTGTCTGATAAATCTGGTGATCTACCCCAGCCTCGTTTATGGGGTTTGATCAAACATATCCGTTGGAATAAGATATACATAAGAGGTAGATCTAATTTTTTGTAGCTTCCAGAGAACGATCCACTTATTGGATACAGCACACGCTTTTGTTCATCAGTTAGAAAAGGCAACAGTTGAATTTTAGAATGTTGGATCATTGATATAAAATCCTCTTCTAAAATGTGTTTTCGAAGAATTCTTCGAAACAGGTTTGCACAGGGTCCCGACAAAACATGTTGCACCTGGGTTCCAAAGGAATTTAAGGCTGCAATATAAATCATTCGAGTTTTTCAATGAAACATGTGGAGATAACGAACAGTATTCGAGCTCAAAGTCCATCAAAACAATACAAAATGGGAGCAGAGGAAACGCGGACCTCCAAAAACAGAGGTGGGTTTCAGGTGCCATGGAGAAGTGAACATCCTATGCCGACCGGTCACAACCGCCGTGTGCTCCTTGTAATGATCGGGATATCACGGAAAAATCCGTCGACATTTCAGTGTGTAAATAACGGCCTAACAATTAGATAGGATGAAAAAGTCAGTCAGCATTTGACTTAATGATATATTGTATTTGCTGTCAAGGTTATTGTATCATCCATAGAACCTACGAAATGATGATTATTTACACACTGAATTGTCAACGGATTTTTCCATTATTTCGAGATTATGATAAGGAGCGGGTGTGACCGGTGGGCAGGGGATGCTAACTCCTCCATGGCACCGGATCCCACCTCTAATGTTTTGGAGGTCCGTGTTTGCTCTGCTCCTAATGCCTCCTATTTTGTATTGTTTAATGGACTTTTGAGCTTGAATACTGTTAGTTATCTCCATATATTTCACACAAAAGCTTAATTTGACGATTGATTGCAATTTTATAGGGCCTATCACGATGCCAGTTTAGTAATCTAATCTTGCATCCTTCTATGCTATCTATATAAGAATCTACATGTAGTTTTTCTTAACAAAATGTTAAAAAACTGTTATTGTAGCTTACCTCCTAAATTCTTCTCTTTCTCAAACCTACCCTCAGTCTCTGCATCTCTTGTGTCTCTTTCATTTGCAATAGATTTATTTGTGGACCCACAAAGAGAGTCTTTATTCCCTGAAAGTTGTAAACTTAATTAAAGAGTTGAACATTATCTTATTCTTGTAAACAACAAGAATAGCTCTTTTAAAAAGCTTTTCCGTCTTTAGCAACAACCTTAAACGTAAACTGACACACACCTATCAGACCGTATTATTTTTGAGTAATGTAGATCTTGGTTTTGTACTTCTTCAACAGCTACTTTACAGACATTATTCATACCATATAAATGAAGGGAAAAAAATAAACAAATATTTCAATGTTTGGATGAAGAAAAGATCTTTCTGTTAATCATGAAAATATACAATAAAAAACTCAGTAAAAGTTGCTTTTAAAAAATAAAATATCACTTTTCATTTACTGCAATTTTTCTTTGTTCGTTTTGTCCATTACTTTAAGATTGAAAACCTTGAAAAATTGTTAAATCGTACGAAAATGAGATCACCAGAAAATTATCTCCCTTGTGTAGAACAGCATTTAAACCAATGAAATAATTGAAAATTTTCAGATCATGCATTTTCTACCAATCACAGATGAGAGGAAGTGCACAGTCCGAGGACTGTAAAATAATTCCAATGAAGACGGTAATAAGAATATTTCTACACCAGCATATGACGATGTAAAATATGCCGACTGACCAGACTTTTCGGGCATTACTTGACTTCGTGGGTCCATGGCAAAATCTGCGATACAATATAACTTCACAGTACGCAATATGACCTGAATTACGCAGCTGATTAAGTACAAGTACGTTTATCTTATGGGAAACACATTAATTTTAACAAGCACCTGTGCTAATAAAAGAAAAGATGATGATAGGAAACAGCGCCCAAAATAATAGATCCGGTCTACAAAAGAGGTCTAAGAAAGCCTACATAATTAAAGAAATGCTGGTTTTAATAAGATTATGGAAATTTATAAAATATGGAGATAACGAACAGTATTCGAGCTCAAAAGTCCATTAAACATTACAAAATAAGAGCAGAGCAAACACGGACCTCTAAGACATCAGAGGTGGGATCAGGTGCCATGGAGGAGTGAGCATCCCCTGCCCACCGGTCACACCCGCCGTGTGCTCCTTGTCATGACCGGGAATTAACGGAAAAATCCGTCGACAATTCAGTGTGTAAATAATGGCCTACATGTAACAATTAGTATGAAAAAAGTCAGTCAGCATTTGACTTAATGATAGATTGTATTTGCTGACAATGTCATTTGCAAACTTATAAGTAGCTTGCTTCAGTTTAAAAATTGATCGTACTCCGTGCATTCTCTTGCATTATCGTGAATCAATTCGGAGTGAGAAACCCCATATCATAGTGGAGTGTTAGTACAAAAATATTTGAAAGTTATATTAGAAAACCTAAAGGCATCCTGTTTTTTTACATATTAATGTCTTTATTCAGTGAAACACCCACACATATGGTAGAGTCAGTGATTTCTTTTACTTTTAGTCCTTATGATAAAGCTAGTACATTTATGAACACAAATGAAGATTATTAATTGACAAAATACTGTATATATATATATATATATATATATATATATATATATATATATATATATATATATATATATATATATATATATATATATATATATATATATATATATATATATATATATATATAAAACTTTATATTGATTTTTTTTCTTCCTTTTCAACTTAAAATTGTTTAAATACATTTTGTTTTAATTGAATTTTTAAAAAACGTGAGCTTATACTTGTATAGATTTTCAAAGTAAGTTATCCAACATATTTAGTTAAAAGTACTTAGTTAAGGTTGTTTTAAAAGGTTTTATTTTTTATGGTGATTTTTAGCAATTAATTAAGGAACCAATTCAGATCTGAAAACTCACAACAAACCCCATTTTCGTTAGAAAGCTGAAAAATCGTCATCCCTTAAACTGTGTCATTGCATACCCTTATTCAATTTTTATGGGTATTTAATATGAAACATATTTTACCTGGTTCTGTAATCTCGATACAGTCTCCATCAATGTAAATTTTGTCAATTTTATAGTCTGCTAATATTCTCAATTCATTTGGTGTTTTCCTTGAAAGAAGCTGTGCCAGTTTCCTTTCAACCTCTATGACAATAAAGAAACTGGTTTCCGGAAGTATGCTGACGACTTCTATATATTTTGGATCACATTCTACGATGGCCGCCACGGTTTCAATCAAGAAATCCAATTCTGTAAAGTTTTCTATGTCATCCAACACATGTAATTTGACTCTTTTACACCCATCTGTCAAAGCAGATTGATACTGATAACACATAACATTCTATGACACAAAATATAAATTAAATTTGAAGAAAGAATTCTTCCGTATGATTTGCAAGTCATAAAGTGCCCCTACATTTCTTATTATTTTTCTATGGAGAGGATACAGTGAAATGTGAAAATAACAAACGGCAATCTTAAGTCAAAATTCCATTTAAACAATACATATATGGAGCAGAGCAAACATGGACTTCTGATAACTGGATGGGATCAGTTGTCATGGAGGAGTGAGCTTTCTCTGTCAACAAGTCACACCCACCCTGGCCATTCCATATCATGATCAGTTACACACTACACTGATTCAGGACATTACATTACTCCGTTAAATGTTTACCAGGCATATTTTTTATATATATCTTAAATCCACTTTGTTGAGTAACATAAATTCGGAAGGCCATGCAAGTTGATGAATCGATGAGTTGCAATAATGGTCACAAAATTTTTCGTCGTGTTTTATGTGACTGTTGTCTCATTAAGAAATTGCCTGTTGTAAAAATGTACATGAAAATAACACTGTTGTATTTACCAGCATGTTTTTCCTCTTGAAAATAACACAATCTCTCCTTTCTACTGGTGGCGTAATCAATACATTTCTTTTCTAGATCTGGTCTCTCAATGATCCTCATTAGGTACTGCATAGTAATCACATCTCGATCCGTAAAAATCTTCTTATATTTCAGAAGATTGACAAGATCTGTGATGCTGTTCAAACTGTTGAGAGTTTCCTTATCCACTGAAACTATCTCTGAAAATTTTAATTAGCGTATCACTGAGGTAGTAGAAGAAAATGATTTTTCTTTAAGCGTGACTGAAGAAGCCATAAAGTATGTCTATTTAAAATTTTTATGCCTTCGTAATCGATGTTTCGGGGGTATATAATTTTTGCCCAGTCCGTCCATCTGTCTATTTTTCTGATTGTCCGCAAAACTTAAACATTGCCCATAACTTTTGATTGGTTGGAACTATGGCTCTCAGATTTCACATGTGTATTTCTTGTGACAAGTCCTTTCTTTGGGTACCAACGTATTTGACCTCTTGACCTTGGAGTTTGACCCAATTTTGCAAGAATTTACCTAACTTTTAACCTTGACCATAACTTTTGAACAGTTTATGCTAGGGCTTTCATGCTTCACATGTGTATTTATTGTGATAAAAACCATTCTATGGATATGAATGTGTTTGACTTTTTGACCTTGACCTTTGAGTTTGCCCACTTTCAAAAAAAAACTTTAACCTTGGACACAACTTTTTAACAGTTGGTACTAAGTGTTCATATTTCACAGGTATATTCCATGTGACAAGGCCTTCCCCTGGATACCAAAAAATTTTGAATTTTTGACCTTGGAGTTTGGCCTACCTATGAAAATAATTAACTTTTGCTAAAATTTTGAACATTTGGTGCTAGGGCTTTAATATTTCACGTGTGTATTTCTTATAACAATGCATTCATCTGGGTAGCTTTCATTTGACCCTTTGACCTTAAGATTGGAGTTTGAACCACATTTAAAAAAAACTTTAACTTGGCCATAACTTTTTAATGGTAAGTGCTTATGCTTTTATATATCAAGGGTGTATTTATTGAGAACAAGTCCTTTCTTTGGGTAACAATATTTTTCATCCATTGACCTTGTAGTTTGACTTGCATTTGAGAAACTTCGACCTTTGCCAAAAGTTGTCACACGCGGGCATCAGTGTTTCACATACATATCTTGTTTTTTATGTTTTGTTACCTTTTAAGGAGTCCTTTAGAATGCTCATTTCTGACTTTGTTATTCCTTTGATCAAAGATAGTCGCAAATTGTTAAATCTTATCTTAGCTCCCTTGTCCTTGTAAATTGCAAGACTGAGACCTGAAATTTAATATATATATATATATATATATATATATATATATATATATATATATATATATATATATATATATATATATATATATATATATATATATATATATATATTAAATTTATATATATATGGAGAAAAAAATGTTATTATATAATAAATGAAAAGCTGAAGATAACGAACAGTGTCTGATGAGGCTGTAGATTAATAGAATCATTCATTACTACGAGTGTGGGATAGTGAAATTCCACCAAGGGGACAAGATTCACGGTCTAGGACGAGGCTTTGCCGAGTCCTAGACCGTGAATCTTGGCCCCGAGGTGGAATTTCACTATTCCCACACGAGTATGTAATGAATGATTATTTTTCTCGCATTATTTTATCCAAAATAATGGCCTGTCAATGACGTCGCCATGATAGGGCTAAAAATATATTCTTTTAATTTTCCATCTAATTAAAAATCTAAATACACCAACGGAGAGAGCGTACCTGAAAATGGTTTACACATAGTGTAAACTGATAAAATGAATTTCAGTACATGTAAATTAATTAGATAGATAAAAACTGGGAATTAAAAAACTTATCTATCCGATAGCGTACACATTCATTCAAGAAGAATCCTTCCGCGATCTAAAATTAGTGCCATTTAAAAAGTGAATATACGACAATATTTTGAATGAAAATAAGTTTATCTTAATAAGTTAAATGACAACATTTTAAGTATATGTAATATTTTTTAACATTGTTACAATTTCTTTATATAAAGACGGAATGTTTACGTTATCGTTCGCGGCGTAGTAATACACAGTGTAAGACAGAAAAATCTCACAGTGCTGTCTCACACCGGACAAGTCAATCTTACACTGGTGATTATGCGAGAAACAATGGTATCATATAATCAAGAAAGTGAACTTAAAACAACTGTTAACTTTACATGTACAGAATGATGAAAAACTAGATGAATCAGTGTTACGCGAATGCGAGTTTTATTATTTTTTCTTAAATGTACTGGATCTGTAAGTGATGTACATTAATCGAGGGAGATAGCAGAAACAACTCATTATCTTCTGATATGAGTGACTCAAGTGACCTAATACTGCACTGTTACGATCTACATCTGCAAAATTTTATTTTCAAAACCCTGTTTACACTTTTAATTCGGTTAGCTTTTAGGTCTAACAACAGCGTACTCATGACTTGAATTCTGTTCAAAAACAGTGGAAGGAGGAAAACGAAAGAAAATGTAATGAACAAAGAATTCAATGTTTTGCATTTGGCATTTCTTTCCTAGTACTCAAGAAAATATTTTTTTTAAATGTAACATATCAAAGTACGTGTATAAAATATTGAATATCCTCTATTAATTTCACTTACCATTCAAACATTCATTTGCATTTTCCTCTGTTAATCGTTTTTCTTCCAGAACCTCTAAAAATACTCAAAAAATAACAAAGTTTAGGAAATTCTTAGTGTTTTTGATAAAAAAAAAAAAGGTTCTGTCTTTTTGATAAATATGTATTTCCCTATTTACATGGGCGTTTTAATGAGCTATTGATAGCTTTGTCACTATTTTTCTTCCGAAGTTAAAAGTTTTATAGCCATATGCAGCAGTTAAATTGTGCAATTAAATTATCAGAGATTTTTTGTGATAACAAGTATAATTTTTATCAACGAAGCAATTTTTTAGTACTGCTCATCATGTAATATAGTTAAGGCTGATGATAAGACTTGTCATATGATGTGTCAGTCACAAGATTTTAGCAAAAGAGCGGTATAAAGGTCATCTTTGAATTTCAATATTGAAAAGGCATCAGCAAGTTTAACTTCTAACTTTAGTTTATTAATATTTTTTACAACCCTTTGTAGTTTGTGAAAATTGCTGCGATGCTATATAGTTTCTACTTTTAAATTGCTGAATCTTTGCTGGTCAACATTTCATTTTGAACGGTGGGCTGGCACACTTAGGAAAAAATCTGGCCTCGAAAATGTTTAAAATAATTATGAATAAAGTTATTTAAACATAGTAATCAAAGATTAAAGAACTCAACTCAAGAAACATTTTTTAAGTAAGGCAAAGTTACACTGGAATGCGTCGCTCCAAAAACCTTAACGTGGTCACCCATATGTAAAATGTAGGTCAAATCCAGCATATGAAGCAACTCCTGTAGTGTGAATCGATAACTGTATCATCAATGCAAAGTTGGTTTCTTAATAACGGATCTGCTGCAAAAACTTTAACCTGATCACTCATCCCAAAAAATGCAGGTCAAATCCAACAATTCCAGTAGTGTGCATCCTTAGTAGTTTCACCTGTTCAAGTTTGGTCAACATGGGCTGATATTTACTTTTGAATTAACCTGCTCAAAAAACTTTACCTGGTCACTCGGCCGGAAAATGTAGGTCAAATTCAGGATGCAAAACAGGTTCAGTAATGTCCTTAAAAGAAGAATCCTTGCATGTTTGCTTTAAATTGGCTTATAGAAAGAATGAACATGATCCAGACATTTTAATCTGGTCACTCGTCCAGTAAATGAAGGCATTTTAATTACTTGGAAATGAGAGACCTGTCCCAAAACTTTAATTTGGCCATTCATAAGCTAAATTTGCAGCATCTGAAATCCGGTACAATGAAACATACTAAAAGCATTGTCCATTCGTCTCTGATGCGTCATATAGGGCGTAGAAGTTCTTGAAAAATAAAACTGTTCCAAAAACGTTAACCTTGGATGTTTACACCGACACCAATGATTTTTCACAAGCTCCCCAAACTTAATTTAGGTGAGCTAAAAAGACATCGCATCCAAGTTACATGTAATAGCAAAAAAATATATTCTATTTTACTATGAAATACATTTTTCATTGTACCACTTGACCCCCCCTCTCTCTCTCTCTCTCTCATAATCGTCACAGAAGCTCAGTCGGTAGAGGGCTCGCTCCTTGATCGGAAGGTGTTTCAATCACGACTGCGACTGACCTAAGTCGATAAAAAAATAGGTACATGTAGCAACTCTTCCTCCGCCAAGCGCACGACACTTTGAAGTTGTGGGTCTTTTGGATGAGACCTTAAAAATCGAGGCCCCGTGTCATGGCAGGCGTTCCCATAATAAAGAAGCCTCACTGCTCACTGGCCCTGAGTGCCGAGTAAAGGTCTCAATTTGAAGCCCTTCACCGGTATATGGTGAAGTCTTTATATGAGAGAAAAATTCTCGAAACGTGAAACATTCAATCTCTCTCTCTCTCTCTCTCTCTCTCTCTCTCTCTCTCTCTCTCTCTCTCTCTGCAATGAAATATATGGAGATAATGGAGATAACGAACAGTATTCAAGCTCAAAAGTCCATTCACACAAATCAGGAGCAGAGGAAACAAGGGTCTCTTAAACATCAGAGGTGTGATCAGGTGCCATGGAGGAGTGAGCATCCCCTGCCCACCGGTCACACCCGCCGTGTGCTCCATGGCATGATTGTCATGATTGGGAAATGACGGTAAAATCCGTCCACAATTCAGTCTATAAATAATGGCCTAACAATTAGTATGAAAAACATCCGTCAGCATTTGACTTACACTACTGTAATGATTTTCCCCTTAGATTCCAAAAAATCCCCTGACTTTCCCCTGTCTGTCCCTGACATTTTCCTGTCTCCCCCTGACTTTCTCCTATGATCCCCTGTCGTTGTCCCTGACTACCCCGTCTACTCCCTGACGTCCCCTGACTTTGCCCCTGTTACCACTGTCTAACCCCTGATGTCCCCTGACATTTTCTGACGTCCCTGTCAACTCCCTGATGTCCCCTGACTAAGCCCCTGACCACCCTGTCAATTCCCTGTCGTCCCCTGACATTCATTTTGACCCAGAAAAGGGGTTAAAATATGTTTTTGTTGCTATTTACTTGTGAGAAAAACGTTACTCTTGGCAATTGTTAAATTTTGTGAAAATATATATTTAGTCAATTGTTATTTGTTTGAAGATCTTGAGTAATTTATTTCTTAATATGATTGTATTTGATTGTGTTAGTGTAGTACATTTAGCTTTTAGATAAATTTTAAGGAGAATAAATGCCATTTACTTTGAAAAGAATGAATTACAAATTTATTGCGTCTTGTCATGAATGGCAAGTAAATATATCTATATTTATTTGTATGTTAATCTATATATCCACATTTATTTATTTGTTTTATTTATTTATTTACTGACTAATTCATTAATTAAATCTTTTCATATATTTCTTTTTAGATATATTTTCTTTATTGAATTATTAGTTGATTGATTAATGTTATATATTTATTTAGTTTTTAATTCATTTTATTTTTAATTAATTAATTAATTCTATTTTATTCAATTTATTTGTGAGTTTCGCATAAACAGTCGAAAGGTAAAAGAAAATATGGTTCAAAGTATCTTTTAAGCATATTTACATTTCTTTTAATTCTTTTAATTTCACGATGGGTATCAAAATAATTGTCTTCTTACACACAATCTGAATTCGGAATTTGTTTTATTGCATCTTTTACATTGGTAAAAAAAAATAGAAATGTTCCTCGAAAACTGTACGGTTGTGAAAGTAATCCTGAGCTGTTGATAGTTGCCAGTGACTCTGGGTACACAGACCGGACACCTATTGTTCTTTTGACTGACCACTACACACTGTTTATTCTGTGGCACTCTGCAGGTGTTATTTCTTTCACAACCGTGACAAGTTTTTGAGGAAATTTTTGTTTTACCAAAGTAAAAAGGAACAATAAAACAAATTCCAGATTCAGATTGTGCGTAATGAAACGATGATTTTGATACCCATCATGAAATTAAAAGAATTAAAAATAATTTGAATATGCTTAAAAAATTATTTGAAGCAAATTTGTTTTACCCGGAGACTGTTTATGAATAACTACACAAATTGAATTAAATAAAAATTAATCAATAAATTAAAATAAAGGAAATAAATGAAATAAAATAAAATAAATAAGAAATTTAAATAAATTAATTTATCTATGAAAAATTAAATAAAACAAATATGTAAAAATAAATTTGATGGATAAAATTAATAAATGAATGAAAAAATAAATAGGTAAATAAACGGACAAAGAAATAAACAAAAATGATACATCAATAAATTAAATTCAATTAAATTAATAAATTTACTCAAGATACTTCAAGCAAATAATTACATACAAAATCAATATTCTTATTTATTTTTTTACTTATTTATTTGTATATTTTTCTATTTATTTATTTTTTATCTATCTGTTTATCTATTTATTTATTTAATCTATTCATCTTTTTCTTTTAAATATTTGTTTTATTAAATTATTAATTAATTAATGTTATTTCCTTATTTATTTATTTTGTTATTCATTTTATTCTAATTAATTAATTTTTTTTTTAAATTCCTATTTATTTGTGTAGTTCCCCATAAACAGTCTTATGGAAAAACAAACGACGCTTCAAACTATTTTAAGGCATATTTACATTTCTTTTAATTCTTTTAATTTCATGATGGGTATAAAAAAAATCGTCTTATTACACACAATCTGAATTCGGAATTTGTTTTATTGCTTTTACTTTGTTACAAAAAATAGAAATGTTCCTCGAAAACTGTACGGTTGTGAAAGTAATTCTGAGCTGTTGATAGTTGACCAGTGACTCTGGGTACACAGACCGGACACCTATTGTTCTTTTGACTGACCAATATACACTGTTTATTCTGTGGCAGCACGACCCTATCCACTCTGCAGGTGTTATTTCTTTCACAACCGTGACAAGTTTTATAGGAAATTTTTGTTTTACCAAAATAAAAGTGAACAATAAAACAAATTCCAGATTCAGATTGTGCGTAATTAGACGATGATTTTGATACCCATCATGAAATTAGAAGAATTAAAAGTAATTTGAATATGCTTAAAAAAGAGTTTGAAGCAAATTTGTTTTACCCGGACACTGTATATGAAGAACTACACAAATTGAATTAAATTTAATTAATCAATAAATTAAACTAATTGAATTGAATAAAATAAAATAAATAAAAAAAAATTTAAATAAATCCATTTGTTTATTGATAATTAAATAAAACAAATTAGTTAAAATAAATTAAATAGATAGATTGAATAAAAAATTAAATATATAAAAGAAAAAAAGAATAGATAAATAAGCAGACAAATTGATAAATAAACAGATACATGAATTAATAAAATCAATAAACAAATAAATAAATAAATAAACAGATAAATAATGGCATTTATCCTTATTAAGATTTATCTGAAAAGCTAGTAACAATCAATAAAATAATATTTTGAAAGAATTCGCTAAAGATATTTCAAACAGAAAAACTAATGATTAAATCTACATTTTCACAAAACTTGAAAATTGCTAGGAGTAAGGTATCGATTTTCTCACAAGTAAATAGCAACAAAAACATATTTTAACCCCTTTTCTGGGTCAAAATGAATGTCAGGGGACGACAGGGAATTGACAGGGTGGTCAGAGGCTTAGTCAGGGGACATCAGGGAGTTGACAGGGACGTCAGGGAATGTCAGGGGACATCAGGGGTTAGACAGTGGTAACAGGGGCAAAGTCAGGGGACGTCAGGGAGTAGACAGGGTAGTCAGGGACAACGACAGGGGATCATAGGAGAAAGTCAGGGGGAGACGGGAAAATGTCAGGGACAGACAGGGGAAAGTCAGGGGATTTTTTGGAATCTAAGGGGGAAATCATTACAGTAGTGTTAATGATAAATTGTATTTGCCGACAGGGTAATTGAATTAACCATAGAACTTACGAAATAATGACTTTAAATAAGGCCAAAATAAAAAGTACCTTTGTTTCCCCTAACGCGACCGACCCACTTAAATCGTGCCGACTGAAAAGTTTTTTTTAATAAAATTTTCCAAATTTTTTTTTATTGTTTATCAACTTTATAAAATACAATTTCATCAAAATCCGTTTTTATCAGAACGGTAGCTTTTGTTTTACTCTCATTTGGCGCCCACAGCATGTGGCCACACAGGGTTAGTTCGTGTTATAAAACAACGGCGATGTATCAGTCTTAATATATATCTTTAACTTATTAGAATCCTAAAGTCTTGAAACATTTTGTGAATTAAATGTACCATGACTAAGGAGTGTTAAGATGGTATTTGCAAATGTGTCTTCTAAAATTAACGTACATAGTAAGCATGGAAAAGCCTGTCTCATGAGCAAATGAGGGGCCCACTTTGTGTTTGCACTGATGCATATCAATAAATTTCACTGCATTTCATTCGTTTCGATCTAATTATCACTTCATGTATGGTTCTATTTTTACAATATAGGACCATAGGAGTTGTAAATATGTCTTTGTATAATTATTTTATCTTGATGAATATAATTCAGATTTCGTTTCTTTATTTCTTTTATTTATGGGGTAAACTTCGTGACTATAACATTAGATATATGAACCTTTAATCATTTTAGATATGGTTTGGTTGAATTAAATATTGTTTATACAGGTACATGTACACTCTTTTCAAATAGTGTTGAAATCTTTAAAATTGGCTTATGGTACGGCTTCCTGAGACGTCCAGTGTATTTTACTTTAGTTAGGCCCTTGAAAATAGGTTGTTTCTTTGCCTTAAAATACCTTTAAAAATTGTTATATCGACAACATTTGAACACCTGCCTGTTGGAGGGCTCCTAATTTAGACTTTTTCTCGGCACTTATGGCCATTGATCATGAAGCATCAATAAGGGATCTTTTCCGTGCCAACATCTACATGTATACTGCAACACTGCATGGAACTACGTTTTTTACGGTCTCATTCCACTGACCAGTCTCCACGTCCCTCGTCGGGACATGTGACTTAGAAAAAAAGCTCCTGATTTACGTCTTGACTCCAAAACGAAACACTACAATTACTGCGCCAGACCCTTGACATTTTGTCTGTGTAAGCACTCGAAGATGATAATAGGTTTGAAAAAATATACTCGGATGGCAGATGGTTGAGTATTTGGGAATCTTGTCTTTTTTGTAAAAATTCAATTTCAATAAATTTATGCTGACCTGAGATATTTCACAAGTTCAAATGAATAATATTTGTGAATTAATTTACCACAAATGTTACTTTTAAATTTCATTTGTATGATATTCGGTTAAAAAATTGGTTTCTTTTGTTCTTTCTTATTTATAAAGATATCATTTAATTTTTCAGAATGTATTTCCGAAACTGCTGTCAGAAAAAAAAATAATTTACCTACCTACCTACCCAACTTGAAATTTTAGGGCCGGGTTAGGGGAAACAAAGATATTTTTAATGATGGCCTAAACTGCAATATCTTTATATGCAGAGAGAGAGAGAGAGAGAGAGAGAGAGAGGTACTTGAATTTTAATATATAATATGTCAAGTGATTTACTATTATACCTATTCGTGTCGGAATAACTTAAGACAGAATTGATTGTTGATGTAGTTTTATGCTTTTCTAAAGAATTTCATTTTGTGGTGTATTTTAAAATTGGGGGGTTTTTTTTGGAGTTTTTTGGAGGTATAAGTACATTCCGACTCCCGTTTGTAGCCTTAAACGTGCTGCATTTTCCCTGTCCCTCTTTGATGCTTTACAGCACTAGGTACCATGCCTAAACCTTTTTTCCGAAAGCACAGATATCTATGATATTAAGCATAATTTCATTTTAATACTTGACTAGTAACAACCTGTATTCCTATATTTTTGATAAAATTTAAGCAGTCGACGGCTACTCTTCAACATACCTTGACTAGTAACAACCTTGATACCAAGAAAATTTGTGACTTCTATTCTATATGTTTCCAAATTCTTTGAGCTGTATTCATTGACAACCAGCAGCGGATTAGGTAGAGTAGTTGTGGTTCCTTTATAGGATTCTTCGTGTAAATTTATTGGTCGGAATTCATCATCCGGATTCATCTTTGCCTTCCACTCTACCTTAAAGGCATCCGGAATGGATTTAATGGCTGCTTGCAGCTTGAAAGCTCCATTTTCTACGTCTTTTTCCCTCATTAACAGTTTAACACTTGGTTCGGCTGAAAATATTTCATAAGTTATAATTATGAAATCTTTTATTACCTAATGATTTTTCATATTTTTTATTTTAAATAAAAAGATCTTGAAAATAAGGCATTTGTAAAAAGAAATCCATATAGATGCATATGTAAACCTTTGAATTCCTCTTGTGACCATACCTCATGATTTGAATAAATCTGAATCTAAATACGTGAGGGTTAACATTGTTAAGAATGCTCTTTCTAATTTTAAGAGAAAAGATTTTTTCTATACATTCCCATGTAAAACTTTTATCCCATTTTTAGGTTTTAACCTATCCCTGGGGACCATCGACTTTGGACTAATTCTTATACATTTCCCCTTGAAAGAGATCATAGCACTTCATTTGCAATATTTTAATCTCCTTTACCCAATAATGCGTTACGGCAAATTTGATTGAATTCTACCTTGTGGTTCTGGAGAAGAAATGAAAACGACAAAAGCTTACAAACAAAAGACGGACGCCAAGCAATCTTTGATCAGACAAGCCTACTTGAACCTTAGCTAAGCTGAGCTAAAAAATACCTAGAGTCACTTGTTCGCTCTGCGTTGTTCCAACATAATTGGATGCACTGCATTGATATATGCCAGCATCAGAAGCATTCACGTTGGTGATTTTAAGTGATGGGTTGCCAATTTCACCTCCTGTGTATTTTCCTTCACTACTTAAAATATCTATTTCATGGTTTCCTTTAGTCCACACTAATCCTGTCAACGGATGAGAGCTATCACAGAGAACTTTGCAGATGAAGGTTACGCTCTGTTCAAGGAAATCAGTGTCATGGTTCATTATCACATTTGGTGGAGCTGTGAATATGAATAGAATTTCTTTGTATTCATTGTATGTGTAATACACAGTCAAAAATACAAGAAAAAGTAATGTGTTAATGATTTGGAAAGTACATGTAAAATCCTATGTAACTTAAACTTTCAAATTAATTTTGAATTTCTAATCCCCCAGAAAATATGTGTTACTGTTTAAACAAATAAAAATCGTGCAGAAAAACTTACTTCCCACAATGTTGAGAAATGTACTGCAACTGGATTTGCCAACCCTGTTTTTTACTACAAGTCGATAAAAAAGACTGTCTTCAAATGTCGTATCATTTATGATTAACTTTGAGTCAGTTGGATCCAGTGAGCTCCCAGAATATTTTGGGCTAGTAAAATCAATTATTTTAAATTTTTCCGAGTTCAGATCCATATATTTGCTCTTTTGCCATTCTACACACTCAGGCGGTGGACATGCCTGTATGACTGGTTCAAAAACAGCAACTGAGCCATAAGGAACTTCAACTTCCTTGGGCATTGTTAGTGCTGGTAAATCTAAAATAGTGAAAGAAGCATATTCTTTCTGCCATTTTTCTAACAGTGAAATATATAAATTTAATTCCTGGTCTAATAATTATTATGAAACCGAAAACAGCCAAAAACATTAAAGAGATATTCACAATCCCGTCCAGCCTTAAATTGTCAAATGTTCTCAGATTTTAAAACTTTCAATTTCTTTTCTGATGCTTTATTATTAAGGTTTCTTAAGATATATACAATGTCATCGCCTGAAGGTGCTCATCTCACAAAAACTGATACATGAATTACTGCTGCTCATTTAAAAAAAAATGACGTTAAATTGAATCATGTTCAGAATGTATAACGTCTCTAATTTTGTCTTTTTTCTATTTCTCTCTCATGTACCTCCCATAACCTCTCTCTCTCTCTCTCTCTCTCTCTCTCTCTCAAACACACACACACACACACACACACACACACACACACACACACACACACACATGAATCGTACCTCCATTCACTGTCAATTGCTTGGAATTGCTCGGGATTTTCATGTGTGTCCCGTTGTTTTCTCGGGAAATGACGGCTCTATATTCTCCCTCGTCTTCTTTTGATACGTTTGATATCACTAAACACCTACTGGAACTGCCCCTATACTTCTCTTTACTTGTGTCGAGTTGTTCTGTTATATTTCCCTGTATTTTCTCCCACATGATTGGCCAGTTATTGGAGGGTGAACATCTGTCTAATACAGCTTCAAAGTAGGTCTTTTCGCCAAAGAAAATTTCATCGTTTCCATGTATTGTTATTGAAAGACCACCTGTTTGGTAAACCATAGCTAATATAAATTGAAGGACTAATCAAAGCTAATATAAAAATATTGGAATTAAGTAGAGAATATTGAGTATAACGTAGTCTTTTCATCACACTTACCATTAACGTCATTCTCCTTTACAATATGCAGAATTCCTTCTAAAATGATTTTGTATTTTTCCATATCCTCGAAACCAAAGTCACTCTTTTCTATGGTTGCCAGTTTCTTTCCGTAGTCAACTGAGATTCCTTTTCTTTTAAGAAACGTTTGCATCCTCTGGAATATCTGTTCTAAATTCTGCCATTTTGCTGTAAAAACGACATCTTCTACACTGGAAGAATCCAAATGTGCAAACATCTCGTTTCTAAACACCCTGAGGCGTTCGATGTCATCTCCGACTTGCAAATCTGTTAATGAAGGTGTTTTACCCCAATCCTGAGTTGGCTTTAATTGTGGACACAGGTTTCGTATGAGTGTATATAACAAAGACACATCAAATTTGTTATAGTCAGGTACAGCAGTAGGAGACGGACAACAAAGTCTCTTTTGTTCTGGCCTCAGTTTGTGTCTCCCGGTCATCAATTCTGGGCTAGATGTTATGGATTTAGGCAAGTCTTTTGGTTTAATCTCACACCTCAAAATGTCCGCTAAAATTACTTTGATCTCGTCCACACTAGCTATTCCCATACGAGTGAAGTTCAGTTGATCACCAGCTAGAATATTTGATGCCATTGTTAAGAAAAGTAAACTTTCCAACAAATCTTCACTATTTTTTCGTCCTCCTCACATCTTTTCTCCCCCTCATGATTGAAATGAATGAAAAAGATTCCTAAAAATATTATATCAAAAGATGAAATGATAAATTACACTGGTGGTTCGAGGTGTCTATATTTTTGATGTGGTCAGGATTCTTTCCATTACTGGATTTATGAGATTGATCGCTTCTTATAAATTATCAATAAAAACATTAGCAAGAGGCACACAGGCCTAGGCGATCACCTGTACTTCATGGATTTTTCAATCAGTTAGGTCCACCTAAATTCCCTGACAAAACTTTCCTAGAGTTAACTATATTTAATACTTTGATTTACTATGAAACTCTTTACGCTGGAACTTTTTTGAAGAATTAGACCCTAAATATATCATAAAATACCACAGATCAATAGGAGAGTCGGGGGTCCGTCCTTCCTGGACTCTACAGACTTATTACGTGTATATACTGAATCAAATTAAAAATACTTTGGACCCCCTAGAAAACGAGGAACATGAAATAGTTTTTTTTTTCACATTTGGGAATGAACTTTACATTTATTTTTTGGTTTTTTTTTCTGTTTTTGTTTGTTTCTTTCGTTTTGTTTTTTTATTGCTTGTCAAGAAATTTTCTTGGTTTGATACGTTCAGGAAAAAAGTTTTTTGTTTTTTTTTTTTTTTTAATTTTTATTTCTTTATTTATTTATTTATTTATTTATTTATTTATTTATTTATTTATTTATTTATTTATTTATTTATTTTTTGCTTGTCAAGAAATTTCAGTCTAGGTTGGAAAGAACTGCACAAGCTAACTCCCGATTCCCACCTACATTTTACATACACATTTAATTCGATATTAACAGCATTTCAGTTATTAAAACCTGTTTGAATGGATTATTCATTTTAAAACCAGCGTTGAAAACTTAATTGCTTTTATTTACAACTCTTTCCATAAGGGGGTAGAAAGTTTTATCCATTGAAATAAGGTTTTGAAACATCACCAGTTTTACAAATACGCATGGAAATGGATGAATGACCTCTAAACGTTTCCATATGATTAAATTATGTTTAATCCAACGTATGATATTGTTATTTACCATAATTTACACACTGAATTGTCGATGGATTTTTCCGTTATTTCCCGATAATGACAAGGGTGTGACAGGTCGGCAAGGGATGCTCACTCCTCCATGGCACCTGATCCCACCTCTGATGTTTGGAGGTCCGTGTTTGCTCTGCTCCTATTTTGTATTGTTTAATGGACTTTTGAGCTTGAATACTGTTCGTTATCTCCATATATTTCATTGATAAAATGCTCTTTTCATATGTTATCTCATTTGAAATTGGTTATAAAATGACCATGCATTTTTGCTGTTTTTTTATCTGTAAATATAACCCCCCCCCCCCATGAAACAACAAAAGCTTTGGTATGAATTTGTGAAATAACAACTCACAATACCTGTAGAAAGGAATTTCTGTTTAGCTGGGGGGGGGGGATATTTTAAGAATATTTCCGTTTTCCATTGATTTCTATAGTGAAAAACACAAGTTTTACAAAAATTACAGAGTTCCATGAAAATTCAGATACTAATCTATATAAATATGAAAAATCATTCAAATATCTTAACTTCTGAGGTAGGTGGTAGATCAATACATGTACTATCGTTCGCAGTTCTTAAGTGGGGTGCCCCCCTCCCCCGAAAAAATCCCTGGCTCCGAGCCTGCACCATGAAATTCGGATATTTTTTTTCCCTAAAACAAAAGATGTATAATTTGGTTCAGTCATTGTAGAGAAGAAACTGAATTTTTACATAAGTTAAAGGAAACGTCGGGTCTAGAATAACTTTTTGATATTTCATTTATTTAATGGTCATTAATGAATTTTACCTGATACTGACATTATAAAGTTAATTATAAAGTAATAAGACACCAAAGTTATGAGTGAACTGACTGCTGGAGGCTGCCATGTTGAGAGATAATGTTATCTCGCTTGCTAAATATTTCCCACAATCCTCACTTTTATGACAATTTCTGGGCACATTGGCTCCAAGTGCAAGCATTATCATTACAGAATCATGTCGTGAAAATGTGCCAATTAAGTACTTACGATTTCATTTTGAACCTGAATGTAATAAAGAAAATATAATTTCACATGCTTATGATTCTAGTGCTTCAGTATTCAGGAAAATAAAAGAAGGAATGGAATTAATAATAAGAAGCAGTTATATCTCTTTTTAAAAAAATGGGGATTAAGCTTTAATTAAAAACTTAGCTGCAAAGGTTGTATATTTTACTTGATTTTAATTCTAAATTTTCAAAAGTTCAAATGTGTCCAAAAAGATGTTAATCTTTCTCCTATATTAAAACAATTGCTTGAATAAGCTTATTTCTGATGTAAGGAATTTTATTACTCTGAAGTAATTAACGAATCGACACCATAAATCTGGCATTTAAGGAGAAATGCCACACCAAAATTTTATTTAATAGATCTTTAAGAAATCCCCTTTAAACTATGGTTTCAGCATTGACCGATATTAGCTTTTAATTATTTTATACGAATTTTTTGGCATATTTTCAGAGAAAATTAAACTGATTCCAACCAGAATTTTGTAATAATTGGAAATGGATAACATTTTCACAAGAATACTAGTTTGACTAGGTGTAATGCATCTTGAGAAGTAATTGATCTTGATAATCAAATAGATTTCTTAGTGGTAAATACAAAAAGAAGGCAGTAAATTATTATTTTATTTATTTTGTGTTAATTTTGATCAAGATCAGTTTAATTTTGATCAGGATTGGTCAAAATATTAAAATAATTATTTTCCTCTAAAATTTCTCAATTTCATTTCAATTTTTTTTTAAAATATGATTGACTAACATATTCTCCCTAGTTGTGACTAGTTTAATGAAGATTTTAACCATAGTTTAAAAAATATTCACAAATTATGTGTTTTATTTTCATAAATAATTTTTTATTTAAAAAATTAAAAAGTCTATCCAGCCTTTATTAACATATTTTATTAGACATTTATATTATGCATTTATTAAAAGCAAATTTTAAACCATAAAGCATCTTATTTGCAAATAAAACATTTTTTCATTTTCTGTAAAAAATAGGGAAAAAATTCTTATTAAATAATTAAGGGCTAATAATGGCCTTTTAATGCTGAAACCACTACTTATCATGGATGTCTTAAAAGTCCATGAAATAAAATTTTGGTGTGGCATTCCTCCTTAAAGTGCCTACACTACATCAGAGCAGCGGCCATGATAAGGTTTTCCCCATGCTGCTTAAATTAAGCAATCAGTATCAAATTTAACTGCTGCTATCAGCAGTGCAATTTTATAAGATGCCTTTTTTTCTATATGAGAGGTATAGAATTATATATAGAAATTAAAATTCTGACAAAACGTTAAAACGTTCACTTTAATGACTGACGGAAATGACGGACAAAAATGATGGGTCACAAGGGTGACTCAGTTGATCTTAAAGGCTATTATTGTCTCCTGGGTATTAAATTCAGCCCCACCATGGACTTGCATAAAGTGACATGAGGATTAATACTTGATAAGAATTGAGGAGGGACACAAACGTCACAACTGGATAAAATTCTTATCCCCATTCTGTTACCTGAACACAGAGGGTTCATTTTAGAAACTGAGTAAAACTGGTTATATACTTGTCAATTTCACAAATAGCAGCCTTCGTAAATTAGAAAGACTGTATTTCAAAGATTTTCCATGTATTAATAAACATAAAACCCTGGGGTTCCTTTGTAACTGTTAAGACGGAAACACAATACATAGTAATGGCGTTCATGTTTACAAATGTTGATCAACAATCAAAGCGAAAGAAGAATTTTTCATAAAATACTAATTACCTCCTCATTGATTACTCATTTTCGTGCCAATAAAAAATCTCTGACCACAAATCTCTACAAAATAATCAGAGAGAAAACAAATGTAATACATTTCACACATGTACTTCCTCATTGGAACTGCGTGTTTACTCAAATAAATGGTAGATCCAAAGGTTTAAAATGAAAGTAGAAATTTTGTAATACTAATTATTTCCTTTTTGACCACTCATTTCAGTAGCAATATATATTCCTCATTTTGAATTTTTCTTCAAAATAGTCCTATTGCACCTTCGGGATCGCCATTTTGTTACTGCTAATTATATATGCATGTCAAAGGTCAATCGGGGATAAGTCGTATCTTTATAAACAGTGTTAGTGAGGAAGTTAAAAACAGCGGTTCATTCTGATTTACTTGTGTAACTTTGACGTTTTTATACATAATTTCTATATACAATATGGATTGTCCAAATGATTTTTCTCCTTGGAAAATTGAGGCGTTACGTTCATTTCTGACCAAGAGAGAACTATCGAGCACAACTGATTACTCAGGCCTTTGCCTCAAGTAAACTAAATATGTCAGTTTTACCTACAGTTTGGGTAGTTTATGCATGTTTGTTTTAGATTTTATTATTTTCAAATTTTATTTCCAAGTTTGGGAAGTTTATGTACGTTTCTTTAATTTCACGCCGACACCCCACCCCCACCCCGTTTTCCCCGAAAATGAAGAGCTCTACATTCCGCAGGGCGAGTAAACATGACAAAAAAAAATTAAATAGATTATTTTTAAAATGATTAATCACATTAAATTAAGTGACCTGTTGAAATAATCCAGACCTTCTGATGAAATAATATCATGAAATTATTTCTAAACCTCCAGGCCAGAACTTGAATAACTGAGACATGCACGGTTCTAGAGGGGGGTCGGGGGTCCGGACCCCCCTGGAATTTACAGAGTTATGATAAGAGGCCCATGGGCCACAACGCTCACCTGAGTAGGTTTGGTCCTGCTTTTCTTTACCAGACATTCCCCCATGTAATACCAATTGTGGCCCCATCCTGTCCCAGGGGTCATGTCTTTAACAATTTGTAATTTGCACTACTCAAGGATGCTTCCACATGAATTTCAGCATTTCTGGCCTAGTGGTTCTTGAAAAGGAAATCTTTAAAGATTTTTCGCGTATAT